AACAAGAAAAAAACCCTCTTATTTCCTTTTTTAAGTTTTATTTTTATTTATAGTTGACTATATTACATTCCTTTAGAGTGTGCAACATAGTGATTAGATATTTCTATACCTTAAAAGTCGGTCACCAGGATGTCACCGTACAGTTATGATATTCTTGACTGTATATACTATGATATTATGCAACCAGAACTAACTTTACAACTAGCAGTTTGTACTTCTTAATCCCTTCACCTTTTTCACCCACCCCCACCCCCTCCCCTCTGGCAACCATCAGTCTGTTCTCTGTATCTATGAGTCTGTTTCTGTTTTGTTTTATTTTCATGATTTAAAATGCTCCCTTTTATCACAAGGGCTAGAAATGCACAAACATAATAATATTGATCATTAAGATATAAAATATTAGTAGAATTATACTTTTTTTCCTGAAATGAACCTTCAGAATTCTCTGGTTCTTCCTGGAATTAGTTTTAGAACAATCCAGGGGCAGCAGTCTGAGAGACACAGGTGGGATGAGGTTGGCCACCTGTTGGTAACTGTCGGAGCAGAGTGGTGGGTCTGTCAGATACAGTACTCTTCCTAGGGTACATAGGTTTAAACATTTCAATAATAAAGGAAAGTTTAAAACAATGAGGAAGGTATCATGTAGGCCTAAATATTTATGGAACTACTTAGTAGTGCTCTTAAATTTCTGCTTTCCCTAGATGACAGGCTAAAAACTTGAAAACATGTATCTAATTAGAACTTAAAGAATAAATACGTTAATTTTTTCATTTACCCCTTAATTGTATATGACTGAAGCTTTACTAGTTTATCAGCATTAGTGGAACAAAAATTTTTATCAAATGGCCTTTTTTTCCTGTTTTTCTTTCGGAGTCACTTTATTTTGTTTCCTCTGAATACTTGATGCACAGGTACAAACTCTCAGTAAATAAATAATCATTCCCTAAAGCGATGCAATTTAAAATGCATTTATGAAAGGTTGTGGGTCATCACTTATGATAATGGAGTGTGAACAAATTAATTCAAAGTATACAGGAAAAAACTGGTTTCAGGCAGCAATCATAAAATTTTTATTAGTCTCACAGACTTTGGTCCCAAGAATATGGAGCAGCCAGAAGTCTGCCCGCCACTGGCTACAGCTCACAGCCACGGAGTCCCCACAAAGCCTCCACCCGCAGCCTTGTCCGTACTTTGATGATAAGGTGACTTTATAATTGCTGTTTGGGCTTATAAAAGAGGCTTTTATTAAGAAGTGATACCAAGTTTTTCTTTGCCATGTCGGAACAGGAAGATGGCAAACACAGAAAAATGATTTTGCCTTAGAGTAAATTACTTCAAAGTAAGATTTTCAGAAAACCCAGTGGATTTATCCTCATTTGCAGTATCCAGGAAAAGGTTACATAACTTGCTGGAGGACTCACCCTGAATTAATTGAATAGCCCAAACCAGATTCCAAGTTTTCTAGTGTATGTGGTGCATCGGTGGTTCAGCTCCCACATGAGAGCAAGCAATGGAATGCATTCTGTACTTGTAAATTTACTATCAGACCTTTACAGATAATAGAAGAAATCTATGCACTCAAGGTTTTTTTGCTCTCTAATGTATAAATATATTTAAAACTTTGAAACTCTAGCAGGTTGAACATATTTACCTGAGGGAGGGCTAGACATCTTACATTGACTCTATTTTTGAAGAGTTAAGAAAATATTGCCTTACTAATTTCCATATATTATTATTTCCCTCACATGCCCTACAGAATATTCTTTTCACATTATATTATGATGTCTTAGTTATAAATTAAAGAACTGTTAAACATTAGTGGAAGAATATCAATCAGATAGAAATGTTCATTTAAAGGGTAATGTTAAATATCTTAGTCATCCTGTAGTCTACTTTGTGAGATGTTTTTCACAGGAATTAGCATTCTCATTCATCCAGATCTAAGGGTCACAGTTACCCTCAGAGTTCATCAGAGAGCAGAGCAATTTCCTGGACCAAACCTTCAAGTTCAGGTTTAATCATAAAACGTGGGTTTTATTCCCAGGGCAGCTTTTATAGAGCAAGTGATTAAGACTTTGTCTCATGGGATCCCCACTTAATGCAAGGAAGGGAAATTGCCTTCTCCCTGAATGAGTAGCTGCCAATGGTCTGGCCATGGATCTTTTTGCCCCCCAGCATATTAACATTTAAATAACAATTTTTAAATTAATTCATTTTCCAATTGTAGTGACATGCAATATTATATTAGTTTCAGTGTACAATACAGTGATTAGACATTTATATACCTTACGAAGTGATCACCCATCTAACACCACATATAGTTATTATAATTTTATTACTATATTCCTTTATAACCCTGTGACTATTTTTATAATTGACAATTTGTACTTCTTAATCTGGCCATGGGATCTTGATTAAGATCCCATGTAAAGTACTGACAAGTTTTAAAGTTTTTCTCTTGATAAGTCAATAAATGAATCTCCTAACCAAATAATCTCTTCAACATTCATGGACATTTTAACACATTTCTCAATTTCCTGCTCTCACTGATTTTCCAGCTGTGGAAAATGAAAGTTACATTTGACACACCCAGCCACCTTACATGTGTAGAATTTTCTTAGAGAAAAGTTGAGTTTATAATTAACTGGAAAACAACCTTAACTGTTTCATCTATCTGTAATTGGCTGTATGATATCGATATGATAATTGGTTGTCAATGTAAACCACATGCCAGATCTCCAAGACACAGTGTGAAAAAAGGAATGTAAGCTACCTCATTACTACATTTATATCAATTATATAATTGAGATGATAATATTTTATATAGATTCTATTAAGTAAATTATATTATTAAGATGGTCTGTGATTCAGGCTCCTCCTACCAGGTGGGGTGCTAAACTGTTCATGAATATTTACACTGCAAATATAAAAAATATGATATTCTACAGAAATTAAATATACATTTTAAATTTAAGGGTCCACATTGGAACCCATGCTATTTCACTAGTTTCTTTTTACTTTTTAAAAAGTAACTACTGAAAAATTGTGAATTGCATTTGTGGTTGGTATAGAGCACCAGGTCCTTCGCTGTTAGTTCAGCCTCCATTTCCATGGACTTTGTTTATTCATATCTTACACTGATGTGAATATATGATGTCAGCTTTCAATTATCTGTATAAATTGGGACTTAAGGATGCTTAATTAAGATATACCTTGGGTAATTCAGAACTAAATTTTAACTATCAAGTTGTATCCTTTGTCATCCAACTTTTCTCCCCAATGCTGTTGTCAGATAATAAAACAATCTGGCTTTGGATTTTTTCCATTCCTTTTTCTCTTTTAATGTGGCCTACACAAAGAAAACAGTGAAAAATGGAATGCCCAACAGATGAGGAAGAGAAAAGAAATAAAAAGCATGAATGGATAAGAAACTAAGTTATCGGCTCCTAAGAGATGGAGATCAGGTGGCCTTCAAGTTCACTTTATGGATTCAATGCTGTTTATCGATGGCCTACTGGATGAGGCCTTGACTGGCATTGACAAGAAGTAACCCACATCACCATCTTCCTTCAGTTCAGTTGACATACAATGACTCATTGCATTGTATTACATTGGCTTCCCCCCTCACATTAGTATCATGAAAAAAGCCTTACAGGAGAACAAAGTTGGGAGAAATCCTTAAGTACAAAGAGAGGTAAAAAAACATGCTGGAAGGAGACATAAAGTAAAAGTCAATTGGAGTAAACAGCCCAAATTAGGGTCAGTTTACAGTGAGTAGACTAATGCACACAAAGTCCAAAGCAGCAAGAATCCTTGAGCAGGGCAAGGGCAAGAACTTCAATCATCCCCAAATAAGGTTCTTACAATAAGTACTGAGTATTTATTTCATACAGTTCTATTTTAGGGGGGAAAACATGCCCTTGCCTAAGACCTATTACACATCACTCTGTGCTTAAATCATTTAAAACATTTAAACAAAATAAAGTTGTTCTTTAATAATGGTAATTAAGTGCTGAATTAAAAAACTTCCCCAATTGTCTCAAACCCCTTCCTGGGAAGATTGCTTTGGGGAGTACACTGGGTGTAGTCTAACCATTAATGAGTCAGGTAAGTGTCAGATAGGCTAAATCCAGTGGATGCAGCTGAAATAAATAAAGGTCATGCCTAAAAGAGAAATTAGGGAGTTGTTCTTGAGAGAAACTGAGCTGCTTTCTCTCCCCTTGAATTCATAGACTTCCTACTGATGAGAAAGCTCTTTTTCAAAATTAGGCCCAGGGAAAATAAACAAATAAATAAAGGTTTAACCTTTTTTATACTACTCACTTCTTGTTTCTACTCAGCCTATCTGTCTAATGGTGAGACTTCTCTCCGTCTGTGCAATACTAACAGCACCGTTCTCTGGCAAAGCCATGTTGCATCTGAAGGAAGTTCTCCCTACAGAAATAGCATCCTTGTAGCCATGTGGTGCCTTCACACGTTTTTCTTAAAAATAAAATAAAAGGTCTATATTCTTTCATTGAATCTTCTTAAAGATACTCTGATGTGAGTAGAGAAGTTTTGTCCTCATTATTTTAGATGAGCAAAATGAAGCCCATAGATCATAAGGGAAGGAAGGCCAGGACCTCCATAATACAAGGAAGGTTAACTTTCAGGCCCTCTTCTCAAAGGCCCTCATTTGCTTATGATAGACTGTCCTCTCTTGATTGCACCCCTTCTTTTCTCTTTTTTCCTTTTGTGTTCTAAACAAATGCAAATCTAGCCATTTATTCTACAGTAATATTCTTACCAGCAGAACTGCCTAGGTTCCTTTACCACACCTGCAGTCTTGGTGCCTAAAATCACTCAGCTTCCCAGGGCAAAAATTAATTATCTTATTAAAATGTCTACAGTTTTTTTTGTCTAAAAGTGTATGTCCACTGTTTTGATTGGCTCCAAACTTTGTACGGAACCGAGTGTTTATTGACCATATCCTGTGTTTTCAACTGTCTGTAAAAATGCAGAATGTGGCAGTGGCCCCAGGTTCGACTGACAGGGTGGCTAACGGTGATGGGATGTCTGGAGATGATCAAGCTGAAAACAAAGAAGAAGAAGATAAATCCGGTGCTGTGAAGTTTGGATGGGTGAAAGGTGTGCTGGTGAGAAAGCTCCTATGTTTACAAATGAAAGTTATCCACTCAGTGTTCTAGTAGATGAAGTTTAGCAAGGCCTGAACGCCAGACTTGCAAAGACCTGGGTTTTGCCCCTTTCTCACTTCTCACGTCCCTGTCAATGTGCCTTTGATTCACAGGTAAGATGCATGCTGAATATCTGGGGTGTCATGCTCTTCATTCGCCTCTCCTGGATTGTTGGAGAAGCTGGAATTGGTAAGCACTTTTTCCTCTCCTCTATCATCTCTGATGTAAATGATAAGCTCAATAAGCAATTTGTGTTCACCATTAATGCTGAACATGAGTTGAAGGTCACAGAAGAGCTTTTGGGCTCTTTTACTTTTTCTCTCAGACCATGTTTGTCTGAGAGGAAAGGTGAAGTGTTAACCCCTGGGGGACTGGAATTTTCCAGTGTGCCAACCAGATAAATGCTGAAGGAAATTTTCAATATTTTCATAGAGTTTTAGGTGACAGGTATATAGACACACATTCATTTTAAATAATAGTATTCATATTTGGGGACATACAGACATTTATCAGAGTATCCATCCCCCTTAGGATTATTGGCGAAACTTCACTAAGTAAAAATAACTGGTGGAAAACAGGTGAAAATGTGACCTGACTAATAAAAATGCTGAATTGTTGAACATTTTCCAAAGAAAATAACTGTGTTACTTTCAGATATCACCAGTAAGAAAAAAAGGTTAACAAAATATTGCCAGATAGAAGCTTAAAGTCATAGATAAAATGACTGAGATAACGTATATAACTTGGTAATTTTTTCCAAATGAAAAATTGATGATGTTGAAATTATTATGAGTAATTATTTAATGTTTTCAAATATTATATTCTATTTAAAGTATTTTTCCTATGGCAAATCTTTTTATTGAGAATATATTAATAAAAATTTTTTGAAAAATTTATTTGAATTTTATCAAAGTTCCTGACTTACTGTGATAAAAACTCATGGCATTCTACTCTATGTATGGAAAATACATTATGGATTTACTCTTGGGGGAGACTTATAAATCATTAGCATCAAAAACATACAGGTTTGGACATGTTTTCAGATTCTACTCCAGAATGTATCTCAATTCACAGTTAAAAGGTAGTTGGTCATTATTTATTGCCTTCGCTCCTTAAAACACATTTCAGAATCATCAGAAGACTAACTCTGAAAAAGAAAGGGCTGGGTTGTAAATTGAAAAACTGGAACCAGTTCCCATAGTTTCTCCATGTTTCATGTTTGGCAACTGCTTGGTTCCTGACAAAGGGCTGCTTGCTGGCTTTATGATGCGTGTCAAATGAATGCTTACCGCCACAGGGCCCAAAGTAAGTGCATGCTGGTCCATGGAAAATCTGCATCTTAATATTGCCAAGTTTTGCTCCAGGGTTTCATGCAAAATTAGGTTTTTAAGGGCAGTTTAGTAACTTATTGAGATCATCAAGAAACATTACTTTGTTTGGAGGTGTGAGCATAGCCAAGGGCAAGAGTAATTCTTTTTAATGCAACTTATTTAACATCCATATGTTTGTGCAATAATCTGAACTTTAATCAGATCTTACATTACTCTTCACAGGCAATCCAGGCTCATGTTTACTGCGAAACCATAAAATCTGAAGAATCCTATCTTCTGCTAAACTCTTTATTATGCTTTCAGACATCAGTGTTGTTTTAATAAGGACCCTTTATTTAAGTAGTTCAATCCTACCTTAGAAGAGAGTAGAGTTCTTCTAACTAAATGAGTGTTAAGTTTTGCATTATCCTTTCCTTTGAATGGCAGGCATTTTCCTTCTAATTCTCAGAAAATAGACTTTAGTGAGTAATAGAAACTTATTACCACTCTTACTCAGTTTTACTGGCCTTTGCTCTAAGCTTAAAGCTAAATGAGTTCATCAAGTCACCGCCACCTGGGTCCTGTTGGAGCCTCCTTTATTGAGCAAGAAAAGAAACAATACAAGTAGTTTCTTTTTGCTTTGGGAATAATTTGGGGTTTCCCATAAATGTAACCGTCAGGTAGGGAAGAAGGGTGTGAAAAGCAGGTACAACCTGAAGTGAGTTATTTATACTTTGTGAGCTTTATTTTCTCATCTACAAATTAGGGAGCTGGATTAATTATTTCCCAATTAATTCTTCAAAGATAATGCTAAAGAACCTTGCTGAATAGGCAGACACACATTGAGATAGGCTGCGGATAGTGCAATGGTTTTTCAGACTGTGCTGTACATAAGAACTACCTGGAAAATTAAGTTGTAAAACTGCAGAATCCAGGGACTTACTTTGAAAGATCCAAACTCAGTAGGTCTGGCATTTTTAATGCGAACCCCAGGCATTTCCTGAAGCAGGTGGTTAAAGGACTGTACTTTGAGAAAATCATGAATTGAATGGTCTCTAAGCTGCCTTTTACACTGGGATTTTATGTTTGTGAGAAAGAAGCAAATTTCTCACTGTTTAAGTATATAAAATTTGTTTCAGGGTTTAATATGGTTAACTGAAATGTACGCAATCAATGCCAAAGGATAAATTAAGAATTGTTGAAAATAGAAGCAAGAGTAGGGAAATAATAAAATAAGAGTTGGTTTAATGCCCTGAAATGCAAACTACAGTTCTGTACAATCAATAGGGTGAGCTAAACATCTGATATCAAACTTACTCAAAACAAAGTCAAGAGCAAAATGATGTGCAAAAGTAAGTATCGTAAAAACTTACTTTTATGGGTAAAAAGAACTGAGGTCACATAGTGTTGTAGAGGTGAGGCTCACCCTAGGATTCCTGCCATAGATATGAAGAATTTAGTGCAACTGTTTCTTTCAACACCAAATTTTCAAGAGTGTACAGAGCCAAAGCAATAGGGTCCAAATATGCATGTTGTGCCCACACTTAGCCTCTTGCTACTACATTCTAACCAGTAAAATAGCCTAAAGATTTCCGCTAGAGCCAGGATATAGCTGAGAGTGTCAAAAGGGCCAGCCTCCAATACCTCGTTCCTATTTCTATCCTTAACTTCCTTAGACTTCCGTTTCTCCTGGAGAATGTCCAGGCAGATCACAGCCTCTCTTGGCTGATTACCTTTCTAATCATCCTTGGAATAAGAGAGATTGCCAACAGTTATGGAGCATCCATTTTATGTCAGGGGTCAGACAAAACAGGCCAAGGCAAAATCATTCTGGCTGGAGCCAGTATGATTTCAATGCCTGTGACCTCTGAATTCTCCCCAAATTCGGGGTCAACCTTCATTGAGGAGGATATCATAGAAAAATAAAACTGTTTTCCCTCTAATGATATTAGGCTCATTGCCTAGAGCTCTGTAAATGAGACTGACAAAAGACAGATTAACAAGAGAAAAACTATCAGAAGTTTACTAACACGCGCAGTGTACATACACATGGGAAAAAGACTCAGCAATGGGTAACAAAGTGGTGGTTAGAACTTGGGCTTATACAGAATCTTGACAGGATGATAGATTTTTAGAGAAGTGACAAGACAAAGGGACAGGACTGAATTTCTAGGTTGGCAAATTGTGGGAAGGCAAATATATGGAGGAACTAATGGAAGATAAGTAAAGTTTGTTATGTTCCCCTGGTATCAATTCCAGCTTATAAGGGTCTAGAATGGTCTCGGGTATCTTTACAAATTTGTGTCTTGTTTTTAGGCAAATATGGAGAGTTATCTACTTCTCAATTGTCTCTAGCTGAAAATAATCCTTAGCTAAAGGCACCCTTGCCTTCCTTTAAATTCTGGCTTACCACTTTCTCCCTCTTATAATCATTGACTTCTGTACCATAAGCTTCTTGAGGGAAGCTTTTTTCTCATTTTATTTGCTCCTTGTACTTCTCATGTTACCCAACACATGGCTGGATATACACCTGGCTTTTCATAAAAAATAGTTGTTATGACTGCTGGGATCTGATCAAAAAGTAGTGCCACCGATTGTGACGTGCATACCACGCACTATGCTAGCCACTTACCCATGCACCCTTTCTAATTTTATTGCCACTTTTGTCTCAGAAAATAAGTAACTTGTCAGAGGTCACATAGCCAATGAGTGAAAATAGTTCAATTTGATTCTTTCCTCATTACTTCCCTGCTAGGTGAACAATCTGCTATATTACCTGTAATTCTCCACTCCTACACAACCAAATGTCCATAAAAAGATAGTTACCTGGAAAGGTGAACATTCACTCTTTAGTTAGATGAACAGCTTAGTACTGTGTAGATCAATTACGATGTTTACAGGTGTCCTTAGAACTTTGTCATGATACATGGGGTTCACATTAAAGTTTGACTGGCCATAGCTGCTTAGTTGTGTGCAAGTTCGCACTCCGTCTTAGCTCTTGAGTTTCTAGGATCTGCGCTGCTATAGCAGGAAAGTTTAAAGCTGAGCACTTACTCTGTGGTGACTGTTAGGCCAGCTTGTTAACTCAAATGTGGTCCTTTGGTGAAATGTGATCCTAGACTTGCTGGCTTTTTTTGTAAACGATCTAATGGATTGTTCCACCGATTAATTGCCTTTATTTTTCCTCTCTCAACTGAGGTCTTGGTGTGATTATCATCGGCTTAGCCGTGACAGTGACTGCTATCACTGGTTTATCCACCTCTGCTATTGCCACAAATGGATATGTCAGAGGAGGTAATTAAACTTGTGACCCGCATGATCATTTGTAAGGTAAAAGCAACACAGGCTCAAATTGTTCACCAGTGAACTTTCTGGAGTGTTTTTAAAGGTAATCCAAGTTGGTTCCTTCCTCCCCCCACCCCTCAGGCAAGAGAGAGGCAAGAAGAATGGTGAAGGATTTAACCTTTGTCAACCCCCCAACTTTCTCACTCAGGTTCCTTTCAAGCAAGAGAGAAGGTCAAATGTCATGTTTTCTCTTTTCATAGCCAGGGTGGTTTCTCTCCCAGGACACCAGCACAAGTCAACTTTTCCTTTCCAGGGCTGCAGCTCACACTTTTACTCCTGGAAACCATCCTTCATCCTAATGAGCAGCTCTCTGACTTGATCTGTGTGCCAGGCAAGCCGGTTTCTCTGTAGCACAAAGGAACTCCATTGGGGCCCAAGTCTCGGACATAAAAAATTAAAGGCAGTGTAGTTTGTGGCAACAGGGAATCCACGGAAGACAAGTAAAATATAATATCTTTTATCTTTCGTTGCTGACAGGTCTCGGAGTTCTCATAATTCTTCTTTCCACCATGGTAACTTCTATTACTGGGTTGTCAACTGCCGCAATAGCAACTAACGGGTTTGTTCGTGGAGGTAAAATTTCTAAGATATCTAATGCTCTCATCACTTGTTACGGGTAGGCAAAAACTTTATATATATATATATTTTTTTATGGGAACGAGAAAGTAGCCCCATGTCCTTGAAGCCTGGCTAACCCTTTGGATGAGTGGGAGCCTGAAGGAAACGTAAGGTACTGTGAGTGCGTCCCGGTTCGCTCCGGTCCACTGCCACCTCCTTTCGAACGGGAGGTCCTGTTCGAAACTTGCACGCTGCAGGTCCTGGTGTACAGCTGTTCACATCCCTTGGGTAAATGTTTCCTTTTTCAGGCAAGTCTGCATTCCTCCGACTGGTGTTTCTTGGAAAATGATCCCTGGACATGGCTTCAGTTTTAAAGTTCAGTACATTTCAGGTGTTTCCTAGATCTTCGTGGAATGGGACTCTTTAGAACATTCCAGGTTTTTCGTGGGGAGACGGATCCTTCTGTGACAAGAGTCAGGCTGCTGCCTCCTGAAGTACTGAGGACTTCGGGAAGTCCTGGAGCCAAACAGTTTTCTTGGGGGGTTTTGCAGGTCTTGGAGTCATCATCATTGGCCTGAGTGTGGTAGTGACAACACTCACAGGTATTTCTATGTCTGCCATTTGCACAAATGGAGTAGTAAGAGGAGGTAAGCCAATTCATTTACCTATGACTGCAAGCTTTGGTGACATGGTAATGTCTAGAGTTGGTTTAATGTTGGAAATAAAATTTGTGTATTGATAATTAGTCTCCAAAGCTTTAAAATAAAAGAACCCAAAATGTAAGGAGTAAGGCAAAATTCTTCTCAACTAATATTAAGAGATCTCCAGAAAAGACTTCTCCAACCCATTTCCAGTGAGTAAACGTGTTTATAAAGTAGAGAGTGACCAGGTGTGTAGGAAGAAAGCATTCCTTTGTGCCTCGGACGAGCCCTGCAGGCCATCCCCCAGGTCCCCTCAGCAGGGCCCTTCCCCAGTGCCCCGGCCAACAGTGCTGATACTTCCCACTCAGTCAGTCCTCGTAGCTCACCCCAAGGACACTCTGCTTCCAGTGGCCAAAGCTGTGAAAGATCTTCAAAAAGAAAAGAAAAGAAAAGCAAACAAAACAAAGTTTCTTTCAGATCATCCAGGAACAAGCAGGCCTAAGTAGAAAATGAAGTGGGTAAAGTTGATCCATGTTCTGAATTCTTTTCTTCTCCCTTCCCATTCTGCTTTGGTTCTTCAGGGTCTCTACTTGGGTGTCTTATCCAGGTCTCCCACCCAAGGCCTTCAAAGCACCATCCTACCCACAGCATACCTCCTCTCACAATTTCTGCCTGGCTCTCATTTTGGCCAGGCTTAAGGAACTGGCTAGCCAATTTATTTAATATAATCTGCACAAAGGAAATAATGGGGATTTGCCCCACTTAGATAATAGGTTACATTTCTAGAGAGGGCTTTGACCCCTTAACCCATAAGAGTCACTACAGTGGAAGAAATTCCTCTTCAGTAAAAGACTGTTTGATTTTTTTTTAGTTTTTTAAATTTTTTATTCAATCTTTATTATAATTTTTCTATTACCATTTAGTCCCTTTAGACTCCCCTGTCCCCAGCAGTCACCATACTGCTGTCTATGTCCATGAGTCCTTTTTCCTTTTTGCCCAATTCCTCCATCCCCCAACCTCCCTCCACCACTAGCTATAGACACATTTGTTCAATGTCATTTCTCTACCAGTTCTGTGCACCTCAAAGACTAGCTTGGTATAAGAAGCTATTAATTTACTATGTCTGCACGAACATCTAGTTATCCAGGCCTCTCAATTTCTGGTCCTTTTTCCATCACTGACACACTCTCAGTGCCCCCTAAGCAGCTAACCAGCCCAGGTCAGTCTTTCACATGCACAGAAATACAGCCATATGTAGGGCTGCCTTTTGAAGGTCTGAGGCAGAAGCAATTGTTCCAAGTTCTCCTTCCCTTTCTTCCCGTTTGTCACCTCCATACACATCATGCCTTTTTGAGCTAAAAACATTTTTTAAAAGTCTGATTTATAGAGTGGATATTATAGAGCACTATACAGGTACCATTTTTATACAGCAAATATGTACCAGAAAATTATAACAGAAAGGAAGTTAGAATAACAACAATAAACTTCACCCACTTCATTGTTTGCCTGTGCCTACCTGTTCTTGGGAATTTCAGATATAAAATTTTACCTCAGTTACATTCAATAATGTAACTGAACTCTCCAATGAACTTTTGTAAAAGACAAAGCATCATTGGTAAAGTTTACTATATTCTTTTTTGTAACATTTGTGTATAATTAGCTTTCAATAACTTGGGTTTTACTAAATCAGGATAGTTCTATTGTAGGTTATGTACAGAGTGCAAGGAAGGGTTCAGCTATTCATTAAGGTAAAACAAGATTCCCAAAATTATTAGGAAATTATCATCTTTTTCTTAGAATAATTAATATTTCATATGTTCTCAGTTTTCAAAGTTACTTTGTCATATAAACTAAGTCCCTTAGCAGTTTCTCAAAGTAAAGCATATTCCTTTTTGTTTCAGGTGGAGCATACTATCTTATTTCTAGAAGCTTAGGGCCAGAATTCGGTGGGTCAATAGGCTTGATCTTTGCTTTTGCCAATGCAGTGGCTGTTGCTATGTATGTGGTGGGATTTGCTGAGACTGTGGTAGACCTTCTTAAGGTAAGTAAAAGCTTTTCTTTAGCCATGCAACATAATTTTGCTCAGTTTGCCTTTTTAGGGCACTAGGTCATATTATGGTATTATGGCATGATGAGAAGAAATAGATTTATTCTGCAGAATATGGAAATTGAATATAGTTGAAGGAACCCTAGGTTTGACATCAGAGCTAGCTTAAAATCTGGGCTCTCACATTTTCCAGCTGAGAGATTTTGGACCAGTCCCTCTATTCATCTGAACTTTGTTTTCCAAATGGTTAATGTGGGCTAATATTGCTTTATACATTTCACATAAATGTGGTACAGATCATGAAGTAATGTACATGAAATACTGCATAAAATACAAACCATCAGATACATAATGGATGTTACTATCATCAGCAGTATGGTAGTCCCATTCCATTCACTAAGGATGTGCTCTAAGACCTCCAGTGGATACCTAAGACTATGGGTATTACTGGGCCTATATATATATTATATTTTTCCTATAGATATTTATGATAAAGTTTATAAATTCAGCACACTAAGAGGTTGACAATAACTCTTAAGAAAATAGAGCAATTAGCAGAATATGCTATAATAAAAGTTACATGAATATGACCTCTCTCAAAATACCTTATTGTACTGCACTCACTTTTTCACTTAAATGAAGCACTCTGTAACTTTGGCCTATCTGAATTGCCAGCACACCACCTTAGCACTTTGAAATCATGTAGTAAAATAAGGTTACTTGAATATAAGCACCAAGTTATTGTGATAGTTGATCTGAGAACCCAGATGGCTACTAAGTAAGAGGCCGGCGGGTAGCATCTACAGCATGGACACCCTGGACAAAGGGGGTGATTCACATCCGGGTGGGACAGCACAGAACAACACAAGATTTCACCACACTACTCAGAATGGCAGTTAATTTAAAATGTGTGAATTGTTTATTTCTGAAATTTCCAATTTAATATTTCTGGACCATGGGTGACTGAAACCATGGAAAGAGAAACCACCAATAAAGGGGAAACTACTGTATTACTATTATGAGTATAGATTTCCAAACAGAAAGAAAGTTAAAACATTAGAATAACTCACTGCAGAAAACCAGGCATTTCCTAGTGTAGGTGGTGCATATGGGAGACTTGAATTAGCTGGCAGATGAACTCACATCTAGTCCTCCTTTGTGGTAGGGATAGCATTCACTGAATTTAGTTGCTAACACTACCTCTATTGAAAAATTAGGTGAATGAATGAGTGGGGTATATAGTTCATAAGATATACTATCTTCAAGAGATACATTATCTGCTTTGTGTAGTTAGTTCTTTAATTGAATAACACTTATTTTCCAATATGTACATTGGAAACTACTCATTTTTATTCTTCTAGGATATCCCTGACACACAAAAATAACTAGTCATTCTGAAACAAAACATGATATGTGTATGTGCACATACTTTTACTTAGTGCTATAATAGCTTCTGAAGCTGTGACTAGAATGAATCTCCAAAATTTCCATCTTCTAACCTTAGCTATCAAAGGCCTATTATCATAGGAAAAAATTAATGTTAAGTTCTTTATCTTCTCAAGTTTATGAGCACTTCATTTTTCTATTATCCTGTATGGCCCCAGACATTAGTATATTAGTATTCATCTTACTGTTAAATGATACAATAAAATATGCAAAAGAAAAAAGAAAAGGCTCCAACTCTAACCATTGTTGTGATTTTTCCCCAGGAGAGTGATTCAATGATGGTAGATCCAACCAATGACATCCGGATAATAGGCTCAATCACAGTGGTGATCCTTTTAGGAATTTCGGTGGCTGGAATGGAATGGGAAGCAAAGGTAAATTTCTCAAAATCTGGCTTCCAACGACTTCTGGTCAGACCCTGGATAAATTGCAGGGATAGATGGGACCCCTATGTAGAAAGAAGTACTGTTATTACTAGCCATGGAAAAGTTGCAGATTAGTGCTGGGGGGAACACTAAGCCCTCAGAGCATGAGTCCAAGCAGTCTGGACTCATAGTGCATGTGCCACACATGATCAGACCTGAGCTTTGTGCTTCTCTGTTCTCATTGTAGCTACAGAGCCATCAAGGCTGGCCCCATCTTTATGCACAGGTCGAGTTATGATCATAGCAGCAGCACATGCTGGAAGCCTATGTCTCCCAGTCATACCTTTGTTAACTCCTTTCAGGTGGTTGTGGGTGCCAAAACCAAAAGAAATGGCAAGTGCATTGAGAGAAGGTAATAGAGGCAGAAACTATAATTCTCTGAAATCCAGTTCTCCAGCAGAAAATTGGAGGACAACACAGGCCTTGGAACTAGTAAATATCTGTATTTAAATCGTAATAAAACCATTAGTAAAATTCTAAATGACAGGAAACATGCCTTTTTGCATCTTTTGTAACTCTGTACAGTGACTGGTACAATTGAAAATGAATCTGTATGCCTGGAGAAGGCACCAGCAATGGAAAGATGGCCTAAGCCTTCCACCTACGTAAGGCAATAGGAGACATTCCTGCACTGCACTTATCTATGGATTATGCATTCACACATTAAAGAAAAATGGATTAAGTGCTTACACATGATGGGGATTCTGCTAGGCACTGGATATTTATTCCATTATTAAAGAAACAGGCACAATTTCTACCCCAGCTGAGTACATGCTCTATGAGGATATGAGTAATAATCAAAGAGATAACAAGTACATATAAAATGGTAAATTGTAAAAGTACTATAACAGCAATAAACAGGGCACTGAGATGGAAAATAATGGGGAATGTACTTTCAATGACTTTGTTCCCTGAGGGAAGCAATGCAGTCCCAAGGAGCAGAGGGTAGAATCCCAGCTTTGCTCTCAGAATGCCCGGATCTGAATCTAGTTTATATCCATTTGACCTCTAATAAATTGCTTAACTTATCTGTGCCTCAATTTTTTTATCTTTAAATGATGATAACATTACCTGCTTCACAGAGTTATTGGTGGTAATCCATATCTGAAAGCATAATGGTAAAGTTAAATCTGCAGCTGTTATATTGAAAGCCCTTGGTGAACAATAGCTGCTAAGAAAGGCCTGTCTGAGGAGGTAACTAAGACTGAAAGGAAGAGAAGGAAACAGTTCTGTAAAAAGTAGAAGTGCCTTCTTAGCAGAATGAACAGCACATGGAAATGCCAAGCCAATAAACACCTCTAAATGTATGAGGAACTAAAAAAAAAAAGGCAATTTGGCTGATCAGCCTTGCAGACTACTTCTGCAGGACACATAATGGCAGCCCAACATCAAATGCACTGAGGGTCAGGGGAACTCTATGAGTCAATCTGTGTTCTCATACTCCTTCAGTTAGCACTGGGAATGGGAGGAATCCATGGTGCTCTGCCTGAAAAGGAAATAAAGTCTATCAGTGTTAAAGCTTTGGGCTCCATTTATATTCCTGAGGAATAAGTAAGGTACCTGCTCAGTACTTAGAATGTTCTTGTAATGTCAACTTCAAGTGACCAATCACATGCTCCCATTGAAAATGTGACATCTATAGTCAGACCAAATAAGGCTCATTAAGATGCCATTCTGTAAGGGTCCACTTATCATTTAATCCGAGTAGTAGAGTCTTAACTGGAATAACCAGATAGAATCTTTCTTCAGTGGGCACATAACTTTCATGATTATGTAAAAAAATTGTTAAATAAATGTAATTTGTTTTTTTTTACTTTGCCATTCCAGGCTCAAGTGATCCTTCTGGTTATTCTTCTTATTGCTATAGCAAACTTTTTCATTGGAACTGTCATTCCATCCAACAACGAGAAGAGGTCCAGAGGTTTCTTTAATTATCAAGGTATGTGCATGTGACAAATGAGTTGCTTTGCAATAAACGGTCCTTCATTGCTCCCCTCCATCGCCATCCCTGTGACCCCCTACTCCAGCCCTGTGATCCAAGGAAGAGCCAGATGTTGGGTTCAGGAGCCAGAGTGAGTCGTAACTCTGCTGCTTACCAGCTAGATGGCTCACTAACCTGTTTGGCTCTCAGATTTTCCTGGCCAGGTGTGAGTGAAAATAATAACTTCCTGTGGGGATTTTTAAAAGCAACTAAGATAGTGGATGTAAAAGTATTTTCGAAAACCTTGAAGTGCAAGACAATTTGTTATTGTTGTCAAAAGAGTAGGGGAAAAATGCACATGCAAAGAAAGAGAAGGAAGCTCAGACCATTTGTCCAACCATTAAGACCACTAAAGCCAGACAGTTGTTTTTTTCTGCTAGACTTTTTTTGCACCTTGCTTTAATAGTATTTCCTAGCTAAGCAGCACTGTCAAGTTTTCAAGCATAAATGATTGTAGGAAGTACTGAGGGCAGCGTCCTGTGATACCTTAGCTGAGCATGGAATTTGACTTCTCTCCCCTCTGCTACTTCCCCTGTCTACTCTTTCCTAACTTTCCACTCTAGCTTACTCCAGAATCCACGGCTGAGATTTTTTAAACATTCCCCTTCATTTGCTCAGTTGTCAGTATTCATTTCCTTCTTATGTCACATCATCTCTTTCTTTCTGATTATTTTTCTCTGTAAAGATCATCTTGTTTGCTTTGCATGTTCGTTTCCTTTTGCTTTTTAATTCTTTTTTCTCCTTCCAGCTCCTGCTGTATTTCTTTTCTGATGCTATAAATCTTCTTTCCTTGTTTTTGCATTATTCTAGATTCTTTTGCCCACATTTATCTTCCTTTTCTTGCTCTCTTTCCCCTTCTCTTTTTTTTTCTTCTAGATAATTTTTTTCATTTAAGTAATTTGGTGACAACCTGTGGGATGGTATTATTTTTTGATACCATCACAATATTATTATAATATTATTCTCCTATATGTGAGAATTTGGTATAAGAATTTAAAATTCAATCTCAGCAGGCGGTGAGTAGGCTAGAATATTAAGAGCAAAACTGTAAGGTAGCACCCCAGCTGGTGTGGCTCAGTGGATTGAGTGCTGGCCTGGGAACCAAGGGGTTGCCAGTTCAAGTCCCAGTCAGGGAACATGCCTGGGTTGCTGGACCCTGGTTGGGGGGACATGACAGGCAACTGCACATCGATGTTTCTCTCCTTCTTTCTCCCTCCCTTCCCCTCTTTCTAAAAATAAATAAATACAGTTTTTAAAAAATTGTAAGATAGCCTCATTCACAGGTTTCTACAATTTTTTTAAAAGAGACATGGAAAAGCAATGTGTTGATTAAGGTATTTATGCATGTGAAAATATAGTTATATATATGCAGAACAGGGTATATGTGTGGTATATTTGTGAGTATGCCTGTAACACCATGAGAGAATTCTCCATTTCTTTGTTTTTCAGTCTTCTAGATTCAAGGAATTCAGGTGTCTCTGTTGGCACAAAATTGATTGATTTCTCAGAGCTCTGTTCTAGAGATCTAAAGCCTTGTGAAATGTGTGTTGACCTTTGGCAAATATTAACATGAGGTTTATCAGTACACCAACACCTTTGGGTTTCATTGAGATTATAGAAACTCATTTGCATTTAGGGCTATAGAAGCCAAAGGAAATTTTATCTCCTACTCTGTGAAGAACATCTAAATGGTAATTTCTCATTATTTGTGTTGCAGCATCAATATTTGCAGAAAACTTTGGACCAAGCTTCACAAAAGGCGAAGGCTTCTTCTCTGTCTTTGCCATTTTTTTCCCAGCAGCTACTGGGATTCTTGCAGGTGCCAATATCTCAGGAGATTTGGAGGTATGTTGTTTTCTCTGCTTTTGTAGTCCAGGGAGATGGCGGTGCAGTTGGCAGGCAGCACAAAGAGCTGTAGAGATTGACAGTGGCCATGTCTCTCTACAGCTTTGAAATCATAAAATTTCCATAAGGTTTCCTCATTATTAAAAAATCGTATTTTAATGCCAAACGATCCTATTTCTGATAGTCCTTCCACAAGTCTTAGTCATATCAGAAGGAAAGAGTATGACAGTGTGTCACATTTCCAACAAAATCAATACTATTCAATGAAACAAATAGAAGAACCACCAATTTCTCTCTTAAACATATAATGTATAAGAACATGGAACATTTAAGAAAAAAAACAAAGATAAATTACTGTATTGCTAGATGCTGATATTAAATTCAGGAACGCACTCACTTGTTTAATAGGTATTTATTTAACATTTATTCATATTATCCTATGTTAAGTACTATATGGAGCATTGTATTAGTTAGGATATTGGTTTAAGTATTTTATAAGAGACCAGTAATTTTGACCTAAACAAGACAGAAGTGTTTCTAGTGAATAAAAGTTTGCACTCATAGCCACCCAGTGGAGTAAGAAAGATGTGCTCCGAAAGGTAGCCCAGGGACCCAGATAACTTCCCTTGTTTTACCATTCCCTTGGGGATTGCCTTCATCTGCAAGGTCAAAGTTGACTGATCATGTCCAAGATCACATTCTAGTCCATAGGGAGGGGAATACGGAAGCAGAGGACAAGCAATTCCTGGACCTTCAATGTATCACTTCTGCTGACATTCCATTGGCCAGAATTTGGTCTGAGACCTTACATAGTTGTAAAGAAGGCTGGGAAATGTGGTCTCTAGCTCAGCTGCCATGTGTCCAGATAAAATTTTATCATATTCTAATAGTAAAAGGAAGAAGGTGAGAAAAAATATTAGGAGGCAATAAACAGTGTCTAACACACACACACACATGCACACCATAGAAGGCACAAGTTTTACATCAATAAATCTATAATTACTTTGGAAAACAAGAAATATTTATAAGAGCCATCAAGAGATTTGTATACAAAGAACTTATATTCATGACCCAAGGACATGAACTAAGGGAGGAGGGATTGCCAGAGGGAGTGGGGGTGCTGGGTGGAGGTGACCAAAGGTGGAAAAGTTGGGACTACTGTAATAAGCATAATCAATAAAATATATTTTAAAAGAGAGATATGTATACATTCAAACCATTTGCACTGTCCAAATGGATTGTGAGATAAAAATTAATGGGCAATTTAGTTAAGGATGATATCCTCCTAGCAGTAACATTCAAGTGTGAACTGAAAGCAAAGGCTAAAGACTCACTATTGGTGAGAGAAGGTATTGCAGACAGAGGAGATGAGGAACAGTCAGGCATGGGGAAAACTAGGGAGAGGAAGCATCTCTCATGGTTTACCTGGAGAAGCCCTCATGAGGCTGGATAACCTTGTAAGGTGAGGAGAAACAGGTGTCAGTGTTGGAGAGACCTGAGCCAGAGGTGCTGGCTCTGGAATTCAACTTGTGAAAGTGGAGCCTTTGCCTTTGGTTTTGGTCATTGCTGTATCCTCGGAGCTAGCTAGCAAAGCTTCAACACTTATTGAGTGAATGAATAGAGGCTTTTGCATTTGTTACATTAAGAACCACAGTGCCACAGTAAATTCCTGAGCAGAGATATGGCACAAGAAAAGATTAGCTGAGGCTCAGAAAAATTAAGTGACTTGTTCAAAAATGATTTAAGTAGTAAATATCACTGCTTAGTGAAATTTAGCTATGGATGTTGAGCTTCCAGTTTCTCAAATTCAGAAAAGTATCAGGTGTCACTGACTTAAGTTTCTACAGAGTACACATTTGAATTAAAGAATACTGTGCTTTTCTTAGACTCCTTAAATACAATTTTGTATGAGATGTTTACTAGTCAGTTCATCTCAACCAACACTTACACCAGCCACTGGGGAGGCAAAGAAGAACTCAGTCCCTCCCTCTGAGTGCTCAGGGTCTAGCGGAGAGACAGACGTACTGTAATAAAGTCATAAGAAGCAAAAACAGATCACATGCAGGGTAAAGAAGAAACAGTAATTGCTTTCCCTAAAGAAATAAGGGAAGGCTTTCAGAGGAGAGACAGTCCATCCAGATTCATCAATAGAATGAAGAAGAGAGGGATGTTTGAAACAGAAGAAATGGAATGTAAGAAGGCACAGAGATAGATGCTGCTGATGGAAATGATTTTACATGCATAATGAGTACAATGAGGCAGAAAAATCTTTTCATCTATATATTAATAAACATATTCATAAAGGAACTTATCTGTGTCCTGGGCGCTCTAGGAGTAAGCAATGAACTAAAAAATATCACTATCTAAAAAAGCAAAACTTATAATATCTTTCTTCCAAGGTAAATGCTAACTCAAGTTAGGGATACCGTATTAGTGAAAATGTTTACTTATCTATCCATCTCTACTGAGAAATCTCCTATTTCGATTTTACATGTGAAGAAAATGCAAAGGTATCCCATCGTGATTTTCAGGGCACAAGCGGTTGTAGCAATGTTGTAAAAAGTTTTTTTCCTTTCCATTTAAAAATATTTTGGTTATTTTACAATTAAGCTTGACTTTCAACATATACCCTCATTTATACTATTAAATAAAACTCAGAGGTTCTTTGAACTGAAGACAATGGAGTTTGAATATTATCCCAAAACTAGCTGGAGACACTAAGGAGTTTAGATCAAGATATATGTTTTAGAGAGAGCTTGCTAGCTGACTGTGAAGGATGGAGTGTGTGTGTGTGTGTCTGTCTGTTGTGGGGATGCTGGGGGGTGATAGGTAGGGAGACTAGAGCTGCAAAAAGATTAATTAAAGGACATAACAGAAGTCTAGTCAAGAGGTGACATGGACTTGAATTAAGGCTGTGGCTGGGGAAATGGGTCAAAATGGTCAGCTTTTGTTAGAGTTAGAACAGGAAATAAAAAGGATATTTTATTTTACTATGATTTTCAGTAAGAAAACATGTACATTACAACCAACTGTACACATACAAAATTTTCCCCAAATAGTTCTTTACTACAAATGATGTCTTCTGATTATTTTCATATCATTTCTATTTTATTATATTCATTTCATGCTGGTTGCAACCAACTGCATTAATTCCAGGGTGTAATAAGTGAGAAAAAATAAGCTCATATTTGGCCCCTGAGGTTGAACTTGCAGAAAGACCTCAAGGTGGAGATGTCTAGGCATGTAGCTAGACTTATGAGTCTGGAGCTCTGGAAAAGAGCTAGAGCAAGATCAGAAGGCATGGTGTGCTTGAGTTCATCCAGGGCTGTGCAAAGGGAAGTACTGATGGTGGAAAGGGAGTCCCTGAAGAAGAGAAAAAGCTGCCTAAGACTTAAGAGAACCCAAGACAGAGTGGAGTCCTGTGAGCCAAGGGAGAATACTTTGAGAAGTAATAGTTTATGATCAAAAACCAGAGTCATCAGGCATTGTAAGGACTGAGATGTGACTGTGTATTGGGAAATAGTAAAGAAACTTCAGTACATATTTCTTTCTGAGAAACTAAATAATCAAAACATAATGAATTCAGTTCAAAGTAAACATTCATGTTCTACATACTGTAGGAATATGCAAGATGCTGCCTCTGCTCACAACCCAGCATTCTTCTGAAGATGGCAGTCAGTAAGAGTTAGAATAAATAGAGTTCCATCCTGAACCTCCTACTTGTTAACATATTCATTGAGAACCTGTAAATATGTGCCTGGGAGAAAATTTGGGAGATACTGTAGTCAAATCAAGAGAGTTGGGATGCAGTTTGAGAGATGCAAGATTAGGATATGGCTGACATACTCCAAAAGCAGCAGTCTAATAAAATGTTTGTGTTCTGTATATATACATATATAATATATATAATGTTTAATGAAAAGGTGAAGGGAAGTGATATTGGGGTTTACTGCTTGGGGAGGGGGATGGAAACTAACATTTAGAATGAAAACTAAGCACTTTTCAAAGTCCTGAGCCCTGTCTAGGAGAAACGTAGCCAGACCAGACAATATGAACATACAATCACACATTAAGATATTGGCATTCAGGTCAAGTTTGACCCTCATGTAAATTCTAAATAAGCAATCTTAGAGCTTATAACAGGTTGTTCTAAACAAAAACTAAGTTTTTGTGTTTTAGGTACAAGGCTGCTTTCCATATTTATACCTCTTAATACTTACATATATTTCCTTTCTTCCCACTTAAATCAGGTCTTCACATTTCACTTAGATCCCAAGAAATCCTTAATCAATAAAATAAATGTTAAAACATAATTGAATTAGAAGATTGAGCGGGGCCCATTTCAACTGCAATGGTCTTCTTCTTCTCTCTACATGCTTCTCAACTGCACACACTTGCCACATTCACTTTCGGAAACAACAGCTTGGGAGGAAGAGGCTGCATATGTATGTGTTAGACCAGTGACTTCCAGCTGGTGTCCTGCAAGAATTTTTAAAGCATGTGAAACCTAACTATTTAGTCAGAGGCACTGACTTCTTTTACCATAGACTGTCAAATTAAAAAAATGACAACAGCCAATACAACAATACTGGATCCCATACTGGATTCAGCCATCCAGTACAAATAAATAAAAAAATTATACCTATTTTTGTCAGATAGGCAAGCATATTTTTTTGTGTGCCACGGAATTTTAGTAATATGTCTATGTGTGCCATGAGATGAAAACATTGAAAATCATTGTATTAGACAAGGCATGTGTGGAGATATTCCTAATGAGTAGGAAAGAATTAATGATCACGGAGTGACTCCACAGGGATGGTCACTCCTGTGAGAGGACAGATTTGCTTGACTCTGCAGCTGTCAGGTTGAGTATACATTCACCACGAGTTTACCTTTCTGATGGGTTTGATCAGCAGATTTAAGCTAAAAAACAAATAAACAAAAAACAACTTCATACTTTAACTGCATTGATTGTTTATTCACATTGATGAGTCTCATGTCCTCTGGTGGAGGGACTAATGCCTACTGAAACTGTGCTTCCTTCAATTCAATATTCATTGACTCCTACTACATGCCAGCCACTGTCCTGTATAGTCAATAAATATATTAAAATATCTATTCAATGATCCCTGTTAAGTTGAATTCAATTATTTAGAAGTTATGCTGCTTGGAATTGATTATGATATGATTTAGTCCTTCAAATAGGATATAAGAAAGTATATTATGTATGATGTGGATTCAGCTCAGTGAATTTATATATATTTATAAGCAAGAGAATAGCCCATTTTGGGGTATAAGTTTATATTTGCCTCTTTCTTTATGCCTGCTTATGAAAATTAAATATTCCCCATTGCAGTCATTCCTGAATAAGACTCCAATGGGAAATTTGAGAGATTGGAGAATTTAGAAGATGATCCTTTTTGTTCAGTCAAAAGTTATTTTTTTAAGGCAAGCTTAAGCTTAGTACAAAACAAACACACACACACACACACACACACACACACACACACATATCATCAATGTGCCAGGTATGGTTGGACATTTCTCCTAATAATTTAAGGTTTAATAAATCAGCATGAAATTCACAGGAGATAAGGGGAAGAGAGAGGCATTAGGGAGTGAACTAACTAATATACTTTTTTATAAAAACTCCCTCTTGGACAATTGGAGATCTCTTCTGTTCAGTGCAAAAATCTACAGATTTCTTTATTCACTCTAAACACTTCGGCTTTATCCCCATAGAATTTGAGCTTACCATTTTGCTATTAGCTTGATCTTTTCTTTAGAACTTGCCTCAGGAAGAGTAGCCTAAAAGTTTGAAAACAGAGAAATAACTCCTAGTGACCTCTGTTGCTGATTCCACCCTGTCTCCTTGTACTTATATGTTACTATTTGAAAGGATCCCCAAGATGCTATCCCCAGAGGAACCATGCTGGCCATTTTCATCACCACTGTTGCCTACATAGGAGTTGCTATTTGTGTAGGTAAGTAGTATGTCTCTGGTGTTGGAACGCCAGATTTACAAGGGGTTTTATGGGTTTTTGTGTCCAATGGACTTTCAATGGAACACAAGCAGAACATTTTTTTAAAGGCAACAGTTTAATTCTATTCTTAGATGCTCTAGGGTTTGAATGCAATTAAACTGTAACACACATGTCTCTGGTTCAGGTATAGAGTAATCAGGCCATCTCTCAGGGCTTTAGGAAAAAAATTTCTGTACTGAAGTGGTTCTTTCAACTTGAAGATTCTATGATTCTTAAGTCTTTCCTAGATTTAAAGAATATGAATTCATGGCAAAAATTCAGCATTCTCATTAGTACCTAACTATCACTGGACCTCTCTTACAGTTATGAGCAAACAGGAAGAAAGCAAAATAAGCAGTTTTATTGGTTGGCATTGGTTTGTCAAGTATTTATCCTTCAGGTAGTTCAGAAAAGTTTACATACATTTCATGCTTATGTTCATATATTTCAATAATCCTATTAAATGCATAATGTCAGAGATTATGGTTAGAAAAATTCATAAGGAATGTAGGTGATTAAAATATATATTAAGGATCTTTAAAAAAGTTGGTAATTCCATTTCTGGGAGGCTATCCTAGAGAAATACTTTGATACACAGGGAAAAAATGTATGCACAAAGATGTTCATAGAATATCTATAATAGAAAATAACAGAAACACCTAAATGTATGAAAAAATTGAACAAACTGAGGCAAATATTTGATAGAATATTATTTGACCATTAATATCACTTAATAAATTATAATATTTTGTCCCAAAATATTTCATTTATTATTTCAACTATTAAAATTATATGTCAAGTAGAATTACAACTGCTTAAAAATTATGCAAGGAATATCATTAGTTGAAAGCAGGGGCTTGGTCCTCTTCATTACTTGAATTCAAAAATGCTATCTCTTGGTTCTCTCATAGATGAGACAATAAATCCTACTGCAAAAACACTGAATCGGTAGCACTAAGCCCGAAATCTGAATTGAGTGCTATGACATCTGAATTGTATGTGCATTTTAGGAGATCAGAAAGTAAGATATTTCTAATACCCAAGTGTCTTGCAGAAGCAAGTGAGAGCTAGGACTAGCCCCTCCCCCAAGACAGTAGCAGTGGCAGCCTGTTAGACAAAAAGGGCTGTTCCCAAGCTTCAGGGGATAGGAGCCTCCAGGTACCTCGTCCCAGGAAGCATTGACAGTGAAGACAGGAGAGTCAAGGGACCTGCTCAGACTCCAAGTAAACCAAGTATGTTTTCAGAAGAGACCCCTCAGGGAACAGAACTCCTCACATAAAGAAATGACAAGCCACCATTGTTTCCCCAGGGGCCTGTGTCGTCCGAGATGCCACTGGGAACGTGAATGACACCATCATTTCTGGGATGAACTGCAATGGCTCAGCAGCCTGTGGGCTGGGCTATGACTTCTCAAGATGTCGACACGAGCCATGTCAGTATGGGCTGATGAACAATTTCCAGGTTTGAACTGCAGTAATTATAATGATGCTTATTGCCATTGTTCCCATTTTTCTAGCATCACGTAAAATGAAACTTCTGATGCTGCAACTAATTAGATTACTGATTAATTTGAATTCAACATGGAACACATGGTATGGGAGGGAAGGGAGTTGCACAGACATTAAATCATAGCAAATTCTGTGATTGCATTTACTGTGGTGAGGAGAGAACAGGCACTTGGTATGACTTGCTCCACCAGGGAAGGATCACCACCCAACATTGTGCCTTCCAGCCATTGTGCAAGGGGGAAGTTGTGCACTGTTTCATGGAGGGGAGGAGAGACTTAGAGCTTAGGTAGCATTGGAATGCATTTCATGCATGGACCTTGGCTTAGGAACAGCAGTGGCTCTGGAGTGCCTGGAACTCCAGGCCAAGAGAGAAATATGAGTAGCAGAGGGGGAGGTAAGTAACGGGGAAAGAATAGAGAAGTTGGGAAAACTGTAGGACTTGAAACAAACTGATTTGTTTGCACTATTGGTGAGCAGAGGGAGAGGCAATTTTGTTGTGAAGGCTTCATTCATCTATTTTTGCAATCAACAAAGAGAAATTAACTCAGCTGAAGCCATCATTCCAAAATATGACTTAAATGGATAGAATCTCATCATGTCTCATATCTGAAATTATGTTAAATGAGTACAGAAAAAACAAAGGTTTGAAAAGCCTCTATGTAAGATGAACAAGAAAGTCCAATGCCTTTAAAAAGACTGGGAAACATCTGAGTCCTCCCCCAAACCTTATTAAAATCCCACTTTCTTTAAGATAGAATTTCCCATTCTGAAAGAAACATACTCACAAAGGACAAGGGGGACATGTCAAAATCCTTGAAACCTCTTACTTTATTCTTTCCAGTATCTTCTGAATATATTGCATTGAGCATTGATTATTTTTATAATCAACAAAAAGGCCATTTCCATTAAAAAAAAACAGCTCTTAAGAACTTGAGAATGGCTGGAGGAAGGGGAGAGGGGATTCTAGTTAGAAATAATTAGCTTATAAAGGAGATTCCAAATCACAAAAAGTGGAAAGAGAAGCATTTTATTTATTTATTTATTTATTTATTTATTTATTTATTTTTAGAGAGGGGGGAGAGAGAGAGAGAGAGAGATCAATGTGCAGTTGTGCGGTTGCTGGAGGCCATGGCCTGCAACGCAGGCATGTGCCCTGACTGGGAATTGAGCCTGCAATGCCTGATTTGCAGCCCGCGCTCAATCCATTAAGCTATGCCAGCCAGGGCCCAAGAGAATCATTTGAATAAAAACTTGAATCTTTTTCTTTGTTTGTTTGTTTTTACTGTTTGTTGGATGAGTTTCCTTACGTGAACCTCTCTTCTCAAGGTCATGAGCATGGTGTCAGGGTTTGGCCCCCTCATCACGGCTGGCATCTTTTCTGCAACACTCTCCTCCGCCCTGGCCTCCCTCGTCAGCGCTCCCAAAGTGTTCCAGGTGATCCGGGCACAAGAGCATGTGCTTCTCTCTCCTGCTGTTGCCACTGAATGCAGATGAAGCTGAAATATTCATTCTCACCAGCAATCATTTTCCATCATTTTCTGAAACAGTTTAATGTTTGCATCTGGCTCAAATGCTATGTCTGCCACATAGTCAAGATCGATTCAAATAATACAAAGAATGATGAACTGCAGTGTTAACTTGTGCCTCGTACTGTGTATCACTTCATCTTTTGCCATATCTTCTTGTTTGAGTCACCCAGGGAAAAGGATCGTATATAGATATAAATGACGAAGCTCTCCTCTTTTTTCCCATTAGGCTCTGTGCAAGGACAACATCTACAAAGCCCTGCAGTTCTTTGCAAAAGGATATGGGAAAAACAACGAGCCGCTGAGAGGATACATCCTCACTTTTGTTATTGCCATGGCATTCATTCTTATTGGTTCGTAGAGTCCTTGTTCTTATCGAAAGCCAAATAATTCTTCTGATACTCATAAGTTTCCCTTTTAGCTTGAGAAGTTACCTGTTTTATGCTTAATATTCTATTTGGGAATATTGGACTCTATCTAAAAAGGAAATGAGAAATCCTTGTACAACTGGGCCTTTGAAGACTTGAGGTGGACTTCGGACTTTAAGCTCCTCTTTGAATCTGAGTTGGAAATCCATCCAACCCAATGTAACTGAATCCATCCTCCAAATTGCCCATTCTTGTCTAATCCCAGAGCATCCCCCAGCTGCCACGGGTCTTTACATCTCCCAGCCTGGCAGGGAGCAGGAGAGTTGAAGTGTCTGTTCTCCAAATGTGTTCTGTCGACCACCTGTGTCAGAATCAGAACCACCTGTGGGTTTTTCAGAGTGCAGATTTTTTAGGCTCGACCCAAGAGTTACAATCAGAATCTCCAGTGATAAGGAATCTGCATTTTTACAAGTTCCTCAAGAGATTCATAAATCACTAAAATTTGAGAACCTCTTACTAGAACTTAACCTCCTCTCCTTCTCCCTAAACAATATGGAAACAACTACTTAGTCTTGGAGAGGCACATGCATCAATGTAGCCTGCACATTCCTCACTGCCCCCCGAGGCATCAGCTTTGCTAGGGGGCATGTTAAAGGAGAAGGAGCAAGAGGTGGGGATGGTGGCAACTCTGTAGGGATGGGCAGAGCCTTCTCAGCACTGAGGTACCAAACAACGAGGGCTCCTCCTCTTCACATAAACTCAGGAAGTGACTGTAATTCGTGAATCCTCATAACATTTCCACAAGGTTGAAGGTATTTGTTATAGCTAATAAGTTTTGTTAGTTTTTTTTAAATCATACAAAAAAGTGATTCTGTATAGATGTTTCAATTATGTACTCTTAAGACTTCAAATCACAGCCATATCCTGCATTTAAGTGATCAAATAAACAAAGTTTTAAAAATGGTATAAACCAAATAATATCCATACAAATCACTCTTTTAGAACAACGCAGGGCAGCTTCACGGCCCCAGCTTTGTGGCACCTGTTTTGTCTGCTTCCTGGCTGGCCTCCATGTGCTAGAAGCACACACAGCTGCCACCTGCACTTGAGGCTGATAGACACCTGACGCTCAGAGAAGCAGAACTACCTCTAAATTATTACTTCTATTGAAAAGTAAACAATTCAGCTGGAATTAAATCATGCTGGATATTTAGCTACTGCAGTAAAAGATCTTTGACAAATCTTGAGAGGTAGAACTCTCTAGAGAGGTAGAAAAGTACAAATGACTAACAAGAATTCTGAAAGTCAGAGAAAACAAGTTGGGAATACGCAGAGAGACTTCCAAGTAGGCATTTCTGGTGCACTGGTGTTCAACTGCTCTGTCGCCCCATGGAGGTATGCATAGCAGACAAAGAACACAGAGTTTGGTACCTTTGGATTACCTACAGGGGAGTTTATCATCCCATTCCTCAAACCCTCTATCGATTCCCACAAAAACTTTTATTCAGGTAGAGGTCACGATGCTTGTTTCCTGAATGGTAGGTTTTCCTGGTTCTTTATAGAAAAGGAACTCTGTCTAAGAATAGATTTTAAAGTGAATGCAGCCCCAAAGAAAAATCACTAACTTCGTAAATTTTGACAGATGCTAGCTATGTTTTCAATTTCCAAATGAAGTCAAGCTTCCAGGCTGTCACAGCTGTTTCAGCCCCTGGTCTCATCAGTCATATGTACATGCTCAATTCTGCTTTGTTCACAGCGGAACTGAACACCATCGCTCCCATCATCTCCAACTTTTTCCTGGCCTCATATGCGCTTATTAATTTCTCCTGCTTCCATGCTTCTTATGCCAAATCTCCAGGTAAGCTGATTTTTCCAAACTAAAATAAGCCTAAGCCAACAGTTAGCATCAATAAAATGAAATAAGTCAGGGGAAGTGCTTAATTTGTGTTTATCTGTTTTTTATATCCTAGTGGGCAGTGTAATCCACTTTGTTTTGGTGAGTTGGGGGATGACTTCTGAAATGGAAAAAGAATCATTTGAGCAATGGCCTTTTTGACCAACCGTAAAGTCAATTTTCTCCTACAGCAATAAATTATTCATTGCAAGAGAAACCACATTTATTTCAGCAGTAGAAAAACACCACTATTTATTTCCAGGGTGAAAGTGACCACAGAAGTGGAATAAATGTATATATTTGAAACTTCCTTACTATCAATTTGTTTCCGTCCCATGGTGCAGAAGAGAAGGATGAGTAGCTCCCATAATTACCTGCTGAGTGTAGTCAATGCAGATTCACAGTGGAGCTGCTGACATCCCTGCCCTCTCAGACTGTGGTTTAAAGTGCTGTAAAATTTCACACCAAAAAACCTTCCCCTGTCCAGTCATCCCTCACCTCTTCTTCACTTCCACTGGCCAGTAGAATTTCTTCTGCCTTTCCACCAGAAGAGAGACTAGTCTTTATCGACCTTCAGAAAGTCCCTCACCGTGAGGACTTTCATTAGGGATATAAACACATTTCCGCTTTTAGGGCCTGCTACAGTTGAACCTCCTTTGGAAAAGCTGCTGCCAGTAAAACAAAGGGTAGATAAAAGAGGGGAACCTTCATTCCCCCCAAAGCCACTAGGCTCCAGAAAACACTGAGGACATTCTGTTTCTGTTTTGTTGTCTTCTTTCAAGCGGAAAACAGAAAGCTCTAGTCAGAGAATACAACAAGCCACAGAAATGTGCGGCTCCATGCCATGTTATGTTCATTTTTGAAAAATAAGGGGAAGTAACAGAGATGGGGAGGGGAAAGATTGAAAGGGAAGGAGGGAAAGGGGAAGAGAGAAAAAGAAGAAAATAGAAAAGCACATAGAGGAGACACATAGGTCTGCAGACCCAGAAACTGAGACTCTTCCCCATCTCCCCCCACCCCCTCCACCTCCCTCTGTTTCACACATGCGTGCACACATGCTAGCATGTACACAGCCAGCTGCAGAAAAATAAGGGCATTTCCAGTGACATTCTCAAGGTGATATATCCATCTTGTGGCCATTTAGGAATTTGCTCTAGCAGCCTTTGAAAGCTCTGTTGTGTTTTGGCAACTCCAAATTTAAAATGGACTTTATCCATAGACCAAATGTACCCTTCAAATCAGAGTTTCCCCATCCTGGCCATACTGTCTCCCAGCTTCTTTATTTCAGGGAACTAATGAAACATGGGGAAAACCCCCTTGCATACATGAATTGTGAGAAATAGTTTCACTGCAAATGCAAAATATGTTAATGCATTAGGTTTAAGAAGACTTGCAGACAAATTTCTCCCTCTTGTCCCATTGATGATTATTTCTGAAAGGGCAAGCACTATCTCCTCAGGGGAAAGGAAGAGCTAGGAGGAAGTTAATGGACTGGCTTTTGATGACTGCTCTGCCTTCTTCATGGGAATAAAGCCATTGTTTTAGCCTTCTCTTTCTTGGTCCACCAAGCAATGCCTCCCACCCCTCCCCTGAAAGAGCCCACTTTTCCATTCCTTCTGCCTCCTTTAAATTCCTAATGGCATAGATATCAGATGCTCAAGGTTTTGTAGTTTGAAAAGACAATCAGGGAACATGCAAAAAAGTGTAGGGGGCATGAGAAACACATTTTACTGTATTTCACAGCATCCTTATTTGGTATAATTATACCTTCATAGGCCAGGGACCCAAGATCACAGAAAACTAATAACAGAAACTTGACCTAAAAGCTCTGATTTTTATGCTAGGAAAAAACATGTTACCTGTACTCTAATAATTTGCAGTGGCATGATGGTGAAAGCATGGAAGTTTTCCTTCTGCACATACATTTTGTTGTTGTTGTTCTTTTGCTTTCAGGATGGAGACCTGCATACAGAATTTACAACATGTGGGTATCTCTTTTTGGGGCTGTTTTGTGCTGTGCAGTCATGTTTGTCATCAACTGGTGGGCTGCTGTCATCACCTACGTCATTGAGTTCTTCCTCTACATCTATGTGACCTATAAGAAGCCAGGTAAGATAAGAAGGACTGTGTAGGAATGGGTTTACAAAGTAGCCTGTAACTCCCCATTTACTCAACAAAGTTTTATTGAGCAGCTCCTACGTTCTTAGGTGTGTATGTGTGTGGTACATATTAGTAATATAATGTAATACAATAGTTAACTTTTTGAGCACCTATTATGTATCTTGCACTCATTTAATTCTCATAATAAGGCTGCATATTAAGCATTATTAGACATATTTTATTAATGAAGAAATGAGTTCAAAGAGTTGACCACTTGCCAAGGTAACAGTCAGAATCTGATGGAGCTGACATTTTAACTACAGTGTGTATTATGTTCCTGGAAGTCTATTTCCTTTGCCAGACTAGGGAAGCTCTCCTTTCAAATAAGTTTTCAATTTCTTGCTCTTCCTCTTCTCCTTCTGGCACCTGTATTGTTCAGATGCTGGAACTTTTAAAGTTGTCCCAGAGGTCCCTAAGCCTCTCATCATTTTTTTTAAGATTTTATTTATTTATTTTTAGAGAGGGAAGGGAGGGAGATAGAGAGAGAGAGAGAGAGAAACATCAATGTGCGGTTGCTGGGGGTCATGGCCTGCAACCCAGGCATGTACCCTGACTGGGAATCGAACCTGTGATACTTTGGTTCGCAGCCTGCGCTCAATCCACTGAGCTATACCAGCCAGGGCCCTCATTTTTTTTAATTCTTATTTCTTCATTCTGTTCTGGTTGAATGTTTCTTTCTTCATTCTGCTTCAATTTGTCGATTTGAGTCCCAGTTTCCTTCCCTCCACTCTTGGTTCCCTGTATATTTTGCTTTATTTCACTCTGCATAGCCTTCACTTTTTCTTCTCTTTTGCAACCATATTCAACTATTTCTGTAAGCATCCTGATTACCAGTATTTTGAACTGTGCATCTGATAGGTTGGCTATCTCTTCATCACTTAGTTGTATTTTTTCTGGAGCTAGATCTGTTCTTTCATTTGGGCCATATTTTTTTTTGTCTCGGTGCACCTGTCACATAGTAAGGGGTGGAGCCTTAGGTATTCACCAGGTAGGGCAACCCTCTTACTGCATTGTGGGGCTGTATGTAGAGCAGGGGTCCAAGAGGGAACAATGCCACTTGCTTGGCTCTCAGTAGGCTTTCAGTCACTTCCTCCTCTACCCACAAGCAAAGCGGGCTGATTCCCAGGGGGATGGATTTGTGTACATTCCAGGACCCTGTGGGTCTCTCCAACAATCTCTCCTATAAGGCTTGGAATTTCTCCCACTGCCACAACCTCCACAGGTTTTTTTCAATCAGAGGTTTTGAGGCTTTATTTCCCATACTGGAACCCTGGGTTGTGCAGTCTGTCTCACTCCCAAGTTATTCCTCCTGGTTTATCCGCACGCAACTGTGGGACTGCCTGCTCTGCCAGCTGCCACCTCACCTGGTCCTCCAGCCACCACATTGCAGCGAGCTCTCTCCATCCGGCTGCCCATCTCTGTCCCTCCTACCGGTCTGGATGAATGTTTCTTTACCTCCTTGGTTGTTGGACTTCCATACAGTTCAATTCTAGCAATTCTGGTTGTTTTTTGGTTTTTTAATTTGTTGTCCTTCTTTTGATTGTGCAAATAGTCAAAGTATATCTACTTACACCTCCACCTTGGCCCTCTTTTTATTTTTCTTATAGTTTGTTTTGAAAAGTAGTTTTAATTTCTATAAAATCTAATTTATCAATTTCTTTTATGGTTTGGTTTTTTTGCTTCTAATCAAGATATCCTTTCCCAATTTAAGGTCATAAACTTCTTCTACAAGTTTAATGCTTTAGATTTTAAACATATGTTTATTATCCATTTTGAATTATTATTTGTATATGTGAGTAATGCTTCAAGCTTTATTTTTTGACATATAAATATCCAGTTGACTAGTAGGGTTTTTATAAGAAAAAAAATAATTCAAAGTATGCTAAATACCTGAAGTCTAATCAACACTTAATCAGTTTTAATCTTCTTTATCTCAAGATAATGACCCCCCACCATTTCCCTCACTCCTCTAAACAAGGCTGGAGAGATGGCCCTGTCTGCCATCTGGGGTGAATCTGTACATTCCCATCAGGTACTTTCTCTTATACAATGTACAAAGTCCATCTAATGTTTAATTTGTTCAAAAAAAGGTGAAGTATAATAGTGCTTACCTCCCTTATTAAGAAGATTAGGTCCTAAAAAATCAAACTAAAATGCTTAATCATGATTAACCCTACTCATGGACACCCAGAAGTAAGAATTACTGAACTGTTCAGTTTTATGATTCCAAATACAAAGATTGCTACACACTATCTGTGTATATAAATACCTCTTTTTTTATTTAAGAATTTTTTTAAAAAACCCTTGAATCTATTCAGGGGCTGATCATTTTTCCAGGTGTATCACCTGCTGTTTGTTTATGACCCAGCCTCTCCACAAAGCAGGATTTCTGGGGCCGCAGCTTTCAAGTCTGGTCTTTACCTGGAAAGAGAGGTCTCACTTCTAAGAATTCACAAAGTGTTCCTAAAAGAACAATGCTCTTTCTGGGCAATACATTATATGTTCTGTTATTTGGGCACTCATCACTGCCGACACATCCAGGGAAAATCATAGAAGGTTTATAAAAATTATTTATAATATACAGAGGGAAGATCAATACTTTTTATGCCATACTCCTCTTTAATCCACAGATGTGAACTGGGGCTCCTCCACCCAGGCCCTTTCCTACGTGAGTGCTTTAGACAATGCTCTGGAATTAACCACAGTGGAAGACCATGTAAAAAATTTCAGGTAAAATTGGCTTCTCAGGAGTCCTGGTATTTTTCCAAATTAGAAGTTGTTTTTCTCTGTGGGGGACAAATGGTCTGTGGGTCTAGTCTAGGGCTAGGCAGTCATACAAACTACCACAGTCTCATGCCAGCACCTCCTGTAAATAAGAGCTCCAACTCTTCCCCTCTGAGGTATGCCCACCTCCAAGTATTAACCCTCCTAGTACCAAGGATCACCTTCCATTCATGGGGACAAAAAGGTGGTCTGAGTGAAATGATTTTAGGGAGATGTCACCAAATGCCCACCAACCTTAACCCTTGGTGCTATCTTCATTCAATTGAATGCTTTGTGGCTTACAGAATTCTCTTAGAAGTAACACATTAAGATCTTTATTAGTTATATCTTATTTCAGTTGTACCCTAAAAACACAAGCTTTGCAAGGAGGATGAAGGAAAATACTGGGTGGAAAAGGATAGGCTACATTGGGATTCAGAATAGGATAGTATCCAGAGAAAAAAAGACAGGGAGAACCCAAGACCACCTTGCCTGGCTTTACATTTTTGCTGTCACTAACTAAACTAAGATGGCAAAGGTGGCAAGATGGACAGGCAGGATGATTCAAGACTTCTGGTGAGAAACCCAAGATATATTTAGGGGAGAGTTGGTTCTCCCATTTTGCTAAGCCTCCTGTACCTGCCATTTCTAGTAGGGTAGTTCTGAGCTCATAGGCCTCTTGCAATGGTCAGTCCTCACATCTTCTTTCTTTTTTCCACTTCCAGGCCCCAGTGCATTGTCTTAACAGGGGGACCCATGACAAGACCTGCTCTCTTGGATATAAGTCACGCCTTTACCAAGAACAGTGGTCTTTGCATATGCTGCGAAGTCTTTGTGGTAAGAGCCACTTCATCCCAGCAAAGCCCTTTTCCCTCCCTGCTCAGCTTGTGTTATTTTAGGCGAGCCAAGCGGGTACAGGTAATGGAAGGAGAATGTAAATCAGAGACCAACTAAAAGTGATAAATATTTCCAAATGATGGCCTTTGAGTCAGGAATGGCAAGGCAGTTTGGACAAGAGCCCTTTTCCTTGATTCATATAGCAAGAACCAGCAAGAGCCTGTGGTTCTGAATTTAAATGAGCAGAAAATATGTGTTTCTGATTTCATCAGAGACCAACTAAATGTGATAAGTATTTCCAAATGATGGCTTTTTGGCTCAGAAATAAATAAATAAAAGGAAGGCATTTGAGGTCATAACTGTCCACAGAACTATAAAAGGCTGAAATGAGCCAGAGGGTGCTCATATAGAGATTACCTGATGAGGGCAGAACCAGACGTAATGGCCTTAAATGAGAGCACAGAGAATTTAGATTGAATATTTGGATAACCTTGATGACACTATAGATATCTAGGGAATTAAACCAAGTTTTCCATGTCTTAGATAAATATTCAGAGCTGAATGAATGCCTTTTTATTCAGGAAGTATCTGGTAAACTAATGATAACTTCAGAGTGGTTTTCCCAAGAGGTATCAAAGTAGATGCTAAAAATTTAACCATAATTATTGCTTGATAACCAAACTCTAAATTTAGGAGAAAGCATTAAAATTATAGCAAAATAACAAATCTAAATTGTCCAAACCAGTCTACTGCTACTTGTAGCTTGTGTTCCCCTAACACTCTCTCTCTCACACATACACACTCAAAATTCTTAGCTACTTCAATGCACTGTTATAATAGTTACCTATTTTTCAGAGCATTTTCCTACTGTTTTTATTTCATCTACATAACAGCCTGGTGAGGCAGAAAGGAAAAGAAACCTTGTTCTCACTTTACTGATTAGAAAAGTGAGATTTGGGGAACTTAAGTTATTGCACAGGGTCAAATGACAGGAAAGCAGCAGATCCAGGAGGTGAGTCTAGGCCATCCGATTATACTTTGTGTTACATCATGAGGGGAAAGGTATAGCAGACTTGTATTCTGACAGTGTTATTAGAATCAGGCACCACTCCCTAAACACCAATACCTCCCAGAGAATAATAGGGCCAATCAGGAAGCTGTGTAACCCTGGAGCCAGTCAGCTGTGCCATCCTCAGGGCTTAATCTATCACATCATCATAACTAGCACTTAAGCATCTTTTTATACTTGGCAGTACTCTAAATGCTATATGAAGCCAGTTGGTCATATTCTCTTTCCCCTCTGTGCTTATATGATAGTAACTCAAACAATATAACTCAGTGCAATTATCTAGTAGGCAGTGCAGGGATCTTACTGACTACATAAGATTGACGGGTTAAGTAATGACCAACTGTGACTCCAGAGGGTTTTAAACAATCTTATCAGGCACCCTTTTCTCATATTATCAACTTTGGTGCCCTGGATGAGTGGATTTCATTTTGGCCAATATAATACAGAAGTGGGTTTTGATGAAATAAGCAGTTTGGGGTATTTTTCTTCTCCAGCAATTTAGAGAAAACTTAGTTTAGCAGGCAATAAGATACCTTTAGGGCAGGAGAAATGAACTGGGAGATAAACAGTCATATATTGGCAAGGGAGAAAGGTCTTTTTATAGAAACAAAAGATATTGCTTTTAATTAACCCTTTGCTACTTTAACTACAATCCAAGAGTATGATTCTGGAATATCATTTCATGTGAAGTAGGTGCCTAAATCCATGCATCCAATAGCCCTGGTTGTTTGGCACATACATTGGACCGCATTATAAATTACCGTGCTGGTCTCTCTGAGTAAGGCCCAGGAGTCTTACTTATTCCCAGGTACTGAGGTTCTCTTGGGGACAGAGAATAGTTGTTGCTTCAGTTAATGACTTCCCAGTTAGTTACTTTCTGTGAGCTCCTGTGGCTGCAGATACTGTCAGTGTTTTTCAACTCCTCATTCAGTCGTCAATCATCTTTGCAAAGAAATAGATGGAAGTTGGATGTGGGTAAAGTCTACGTACCATCAGAAAAATTTTTCCAAAAGCATGTGCTTGGTGGTTAGGCTAACCTTGTGGAAAAGGTTAAATAGTAACGATGCTGTTAAGGAATGACAATTTAATGGTTAATGCTGGGAAGCTGGTGCTCATGGACTTTTGAGACACACGGTCAAGATCTGAATCACTGTTTTGCCATCTAATAGCTGTGGGTCCCTAGGGTATAAAATCTAGTCTCCCTATGCCTTGATTTTCTCAGGGTTGTTGTGAGAATTATATAAAATAAGCATTCTAGTGTTCAACTGTGTTTCTGTCAAATAAAAAATGCTCAGTTAATTTTAATTGACATTGTTATTCAACTAAATAATAAGCATTATCATTGTTTTAATTATATTTATTTTAGTATATACCATAGTTGCCATTTTCATTTCAAAAATATATCCCCTTTGCTCTGGCCAGATGTCTCAGGTGGTTGGTGTCATTGTGGGTTCAGTCCCCAGTTGGGGCACGTACCTAGTTTGATCCCGGGTCAGGGAGCATATGGGAAGCAACCAATCGATGTTTATCACTCACATCAATGTTTCTCTCTCTTTCTCTCCCACTTCCTCTCCCTCTAAAATCAATGAATATATCCCTGGGTGAGGATTAAAAGAAAATATATATGTATCCCCTTCAACAGAAATCTAAAACACTTACTCTTAAACAAACTAGGTCCAGACCCTGGATCTTGGACCTTTTAGGTATCCAACAGCTTGATCATGAGAGAATGAGATATGTGCTCCCACTGGAGTGATCACAAGACAGCAGGCTCTACGCTCTGTCCTTCTGGGCCCCTTCAGTATTTAAAGTGCTAGCTTAAAATGCAGTTACACTACAAGGAAGGAGCAAGATTCAGAGCTCACTGACATTTTGATGCTGGTGGGTAGATGCAACATGTGGCGACAGCTGCCATTTCCTACAACCAAGGCATTTTTAAAGGACTAGACGTCATAGCCCTCAAAGCTGCTGAAACTGGAATGAAGAGAGTTATTATTACACCATCGCCCACACTACAGCTTTCCAGCCATCCAACTCACTCTTACACACTCCCATCAGAGCTTCTTCCTTCTCTTATGCCTTTTTCCTACGCAGCCTGAGATTTCAAATGGGGGACCCTTCATCAAGACAAATTTGGGGATCCTTTTTAAGGAATCCAGCTTGGTGATATAAAATACTGTCTCTTTTTCTCCTTTGAATTACCATGTAATAAATCAGTGGCATACTTATATCCAAGAAGCTTTATACTCCACTTCTCATAATAAACTACTGTTAACTTTTTTTGTCAGAGATCCTTCCATTCACTTTTTGAATGAAATAAGCCATTACAGATCAAGCTAAAGTCCCCATTCTAACCACGTGGCCCATGGCTCTTCTTGCTCTCCAAAGGGAGTGTTATACAGATTTTGTTGGCACTCTTCTAGTCATTTCACATATGTGTACTGAAATGTAAATTTACTTTAACTTTTTTTTCTCTTTAATATTCTTTAAACTTTGAATGTCCTGACCTTTCCTCTCATTGTAAGGGAGGGCAGTTCAAGCATAGATAACCCAGGGAAAACTAAAATTCTCATTTTCCTTCTGTCTTCAACCTTTTCTTAATTCAACTCTCATATCCACTGAGAAGAAAATTCATTTTTCTTTAGATGCATCTCTTCTCCTTAAGTCAATGAGTTTCTATCATGATGTTAATAAAATAGTGACATGACCAAATACAAGAAGAATGAATGACCTATGAATGGGCACTAGGATGCATGGGGAGATAAAATATGGGTAAATTAGAAAAGGAAAAACTCTCTTTCCCACAGTTCTAAACAGAATGGCAATAAAAGCATAAACAGAGCAATAGGATTCTTAATGTTCTGAAAAAATAAAAGTTTGAAAGGACACTGCACTTGGCCCAAATTCCTCTATTTAATCCTATTGATACTGGAATTTCTTTGTAAATTCTCTTTCATAATATCCTTTTTTTTTTAAGTAGTGTCACATCAACTTCTCCAGACTAAATAATTATCATTTCTTTCCCCTTTTCTCAATAAATGTCAAAGTTATAATGTATTTAAGACTTTTAAAGCTTCTTTGTTTAAATCCTGAGTTAATTTATGTACTCATATTTTGGATTCTAACTAAGCTAATCTCTATAATATATTAACAGAGTGGTAAAATTCATTTTTATGATATGATACATGTGAATGTTGAATAATTATTTTCTAGTATGTCTTTCCTCTTTGTTAGTTGGCTTTTTGCTCACTACATTTGTATTGCAGTCTTGCCTCACATTAATAAGTGTGCTAAAAGGATATGATAATATTTTTTAGCCAAGAGAGATTCTACATGAAATATTTTTATGACTTCTCAATATGGCAAATTTAGGCATTAAAGTAAATCTCTCTGTCACAATTAGCATTTAATATGGATTTCTGTATTACAAATAGACATATGTTACACTGTATTTATTTAAATAAATGTGAGTTTCCCCGGGGTTCACAGTCATTGTGACACAACTCAACATATTGACAGCCCCATACCTTTCCTAGCTGTTGGTTTTTCTTCTGTTTCATGGCTGTTGTTATCAACACGCTTACATGAATGAAATATTCCTTCTTACTTTTGAAGTTGACAGAGTCTAGAATGCCCAAGAAGGACCAATGGTTCAAAATACATGGAAAATCTATAACCCTGAGCAAAACTTGACCCATAATGACAAGTCCTTCTTTAGGCTAAGTCTTCTGGCTTAGTAACTGCCCTCTCTATGGCTTTGCCTTCTCCATCTCCATTGGAGGGTCTTGTTTTTTAACTTTAATGTAAGCCATTCAAATGGCCTCGAAAACTTGTCACATGTTCTAGAAAATATCCTGGTAAAAATAAGTACATAAGGATCTGATGCAATTTAAATAGAATAATGAAGTAGAAGTTACCCCAGAGGTCATCTAGTGTTATGTAATAGAAAGTTAATATGTGCTACAAGTACAATTTTCTAGTAGCCAATTTTAAAAAGTAAAAAGAAACAGGTAAGTTAATTGTAATAACATTTTATTTAATATAATGTATTCAAAATATTATTTTATTTGATTCCCATTTAGTCCCCCTATACCCTCTTCCTCCCTGCAGTCACCACACTGTTGTCCATGTCCATGAATCCTTTTTCCTCTTTGCTCAATCCCTCCACACCCTACCCACCCCCAGCTGTCATCCTGCTCTCTATCTATGCAAAATGCAATCAATATAAAATTGTAAATGAAGTATTTTACTATATTTTTTCATTCTAAGACTTCAAAATTCAGTATGTATATGTACTTTACATTTCTAACATTTGTCAATGTGGACCACATTTCAAATGCTCAGTGATAATATGTGGATAAGGACTATGAGAGTGGGCAGTGATGACTTAGACAATTTCCTTATTCTTTTAAATGTATAGCTCACATCAAGAGAGAACGAATGGCATACCCAGGGTGTTAGCTGGTCAGTGCCAGAGCCAGACCTCCACCCAGCACTCTGGTTCCCAGTTCAGCCCTCTTCTGTCTCTGTTTATAATTAGGTCAGGGGCTTCAATGAGGTTGGGAGCACTCAGTTAAGATAATAAAAATCAGCCTTGAACTAGGCACTTATCATGATTACCTAAAACAACCTTGCAGCATAACATTTTTATACTGTTTTCAGAATAATATCTGAAAGTTCAGAGATCATCAATTACCTCCAAAGTAGCCAAGCTTAGATTTGAAATCAGCCTGTCTGACCACAAAGGCTGCTTTCTTTTTCATACATCCAAAGCCCTTTTTCTCAAATCAAAGACCCTCTAAGACTGCAACTCCAAGTGTGGTCTGAGGACAGGCAGCATCCATGTTGCCTGGGAGTTATTAGAAATGCAGAATTTTGAGCCCCATTCCAGGCCTACACACTGCAATTTATGAAGATTTCAGGTGGGCCCTGACTGCTGTGGCTCAGTGGAGTGAATGCTGGCCTGTGAACCAAAGGGTCACCAGTTCAATTCCCAGTCAGGGCACATGCTTGGGTTACTGGCCAGGTACCGGTGGGGGACTCACGAGAGATAACCACACATTGATGTTTCTCTCCTTCTCTTTCTCCCTCCCTTCCCCTCTCTCTGGAAGCAAATAAATGAAATCTTTAAAAAAAAAAAGATTCCATATGGATTGTAAGAAATCTAAAACAAGTCAACAAAATTCTAAATCTCTCCATGAATTGAAATAATTTCCCAGGACAACAATAGATTTGTACCCTGTAGGCCCATAGTACCTATCTGTCAGAAATACCTTTTGGATTGATTTGAAACATGCAAGGAAAAGCCAGCTTGGCCCTTTTAGGTAGAAGATACAAGAACAAATTTTTATTTAAAAATGTGATTCCAGAACTCAGATCTTGAAACTAAAAAATGCTTCACCTTCTAGGACAGCACCTGCCTCCTTCTCTCTTACTCCCTTCTATTCTTCCTGTGCTGTAGGTATGTGAGTTTTTGCTCTCACCAAATTCACTGAGTGGGAAATGTTTATTTACCTGAGTGGGATTATGTTAACATTACACAGGGAAAAGTGATGCAGTGGTATCCTTATCACACACCAAAAGAAATTGATGGGCCTGATAAAATTGTCAGAACAAAGTAGTCCATGGCAGCGTTTGCAGATCATCATGCCCTGGCTCCCAAGAGGGCTATCCATTTCTTGCCATTGGGCTAATTCTAACTGGTGTTCTTAAAAGTGGCTCTTGTTATTGAGTCACAGGTTGATTGTATATTTATTCTGACCTTCTTCAATCACATTTTCACTATTTTCCCAATATTCTGAATATATTATATTAAATAAAGTATATTATTTAAATTAACTTTACCTGTTTGTTTTTATTTAATTGGCTTTTCCTATCATTCCACATGAAGCAGTTAATTAAGCAGATATTAATACATCTAGACATTCTGGACAGACAGTGATTAATGGTAGTAACACAGATCCTCTTGAAAAGCTGAACCTGTGTGAACCCTGTTTATTGCAGTGTTTTCCTTCTTCCCCACTTCTTAACTCAGTGGGGCATTGCCAGCTATTTTTGCCTGTTAGAAAACAACAGCGATGCAATGTATAATAGCAGGGCTTCTAACCAATATTTCATTGTGTCATCCAGGGACCACGCAAGCTGTGTGTTAAAGAGATGAACAGTGGCATGGCGAAGAAGCAGGCCTGGCTTATAAAGAACAAAATCAAGGCTTTCTATGCTGCAGTGGCGGCGGACTGTTTCAGGGATGGCGTCCGGAGTCTCCTCCAGGTAAGGCTAGTATGGAGGGAATGCGTACAGAGGCAAAGACAATTAACACTCCATGTTAGAGAAGTTCCCAGAGCAAGTGGCTCTGCCTAGGCATTCCACCATCAGAGCCCAATGCAGATGGTTAAGGAATTCGTTTTGAGTTCCTGGGGACAGACAAAGCTAAAACAAGAGCAAAGAGGCCCTATTGCCATGAACTATGAGTCGTCCACTGGAAATGGGAAACGAGGCTGCCCTCGGCCCACAGCTACATTCTGTCCCCGTGGTTACTGAAACGCAATTTTGTTCTGATGGTCAAGGCTATTCAGGCTCCTATTAAAACTTCAGACTATTTTTGCATCTACAAATGCTCAAGTCAGGCATTCTTTATCCTTTTTCTTTTGCAAATGGTCTAAGGGCAGTTGCTAAGCTAAATAAAAGTGTGGTGATGTGGACACAAAAATTTCTCTATTCTTCTAACTTAGCTCCAGAATGTTGAATAAAATGTAATAATCTCTGTGGTCCAACACTAAAACCCACAGTTCTACCATCTTTTCTCATTCATTCTTTCTTTTTCCTTTCCCTTCTAAAATAAGTACATAAAATTTTTCCCTTGTTCTGACCTTCATAATTCAGAGTGTTAGAGTTTCCTTAAAATAATCCAGGAGACTGGCTTTCTAATCATTGTGGCATTAACATGGTTGAATAGCCCTGATTGTACACACACCAAATGAATTATTTAGCTTTCAGAGTTGCTCTACACAGGGACTCAAAATTCCGAACTGCATCCAGGTAACTCTGATGTTTATGAAGGCAGAAAAGAAAAACTATTGATTAAAGTGTAATATTTTGGAGATTAAGAGTCCTGATGCATTCCTGTCTCTAATATCCCTGACAAACAATTGTGAAGTGGCTGAATATGCAGAGAAACAGTTTCTGAAAGTCCTGTTACCCCAATGAGCCTCTTTTCAGCTGTTATTAATTTGCTAAAACACGAAAATAGAGGTCATTGCAAGAAGCTGAGTTTTCCTTCATTACTGAGCTATTTTTCAGTAGCTCTTTGGTCAAATGTACTGGGAAGGTTACACAGTTAATGTAAAACTATCACAGAAGATTGAAAAAATAATAAAAATTTCCACTGGGAATAGGACATGTATAGAATAAGAACAGGGAGAGAAAAGACCTAAGTATGAAAAAACAGTTCATATATTAATCCAAAAGAAATTGTTTTAAAAAGGACAGTGCATGAATTTGTCCTGGTAAGTTTCTTCAAAGAAAAGTGGAGCAGAGAAGGGTCTCAGCAAAGGGAAGGACAGAGTGGTAATGAAGGGGAGTACTGCCGGTGATACCATTTGGGATAAAGCCTTCTCATCTAAGACATTATGGTATGAATCACATCTCCAAACTGTAGTTATGGAAAAGACTCCATCCATCCCTACTGCCATACATCTGCCAGCGGCCAAACGAGCTGTTCTGTTACCTGTACATTTCTAAGAGCGATATACCAAATGTGTTAGAGGCAGAGCTTATTTTAGGAACCCTCCATCAATGCCCATCTTCTACTTGCTACTGGCCTCTAAAATCTCCTGCTCTGAGCATTTGTTTCACTATCCCCATGGCCCAGGATGTTCTGCCTTCACTCCCACTGCCCTCCTTATCTTTACTTGTCAACATCTAACCAACCTGCAAGATCCAGAACAAATGCCGCCTCTCCCCATGAATCCTCAACTGGAATTCAAGGTCTCTTTCTTTATGCTTCCAGATGAGTTCCGGCTGCATTTGCACTTGAATTTTCCATTGTGTATATTTTGTTTCCTCCACCTATTCTAAGCTTCTTATGGCCAAAAAACATTCCTCACCATTGTCCCATGGCACCTAACATAGTACTTTGCTAGATTAAATTTAATTAACTGGAAGTCATACCCTGTCATTTCATGGGAGAATGAAACTTCTGCTATGGAAGATAGCTGTTAATGATACTGTCATGTAGAAAAGTTAGGTTCTGGAAACATAGCCCAGCTAGTCTTCAATAAATAATGTAAGTAGAAGTTTCAGTGACTTTGTATATATATGAATTTTACAAACATGGATTTTATTGCTACAGACATTATGGACATAACAGGTGGAAACGAGCTTTGAACCACTAAGTTATATAACACACATGCCAACAGTTAAGTCAACCCTCTCTTGATTTTAAGTTATTGAACCATTTTAATGAGTGTATCAGAAGAAATACAAATGACTGCTAATTTAGAAAAGCTACATTTCTGTCATCTAAAATCCTTTTATGGCTGAGATGATTTAGAACTAGTCTTTCTATTTTATGCCTGGGTATGGGCATGAGGGACATGCACTGAAGTCTAATCCAGTCTTCAGAATCATCAGAACACTACTTCAGTGCTCTTTTGGACAATAGTTTTCATTTGCTTTGGTGGTTTCCTGGTATGGTAAGGATTGTCTATGTGTTTATCGCCTCTGTGTAGGCCTCAGGCTTAGGAAGAATGAAACCAAACACTCTGGTGATTGGATATAAAAGAAACTGGAGGAAGGCTCCCTTAGCAGAGATCGAGAACTACGTGGGAATCATACAGTAAGTGATGGCTTTCAAGGCATGTTCTTGTTTATAAAGTACTAGCCAGGGCAGAACATGACAGACACTGGTTTACTAGATGAAATTGCCTGACAGGAGGACATCCCCCTGGTACTCTGAATTCCTTACCCAAGTGAAAACACACTGCCAATAATGGAACTTAAAGGAATCATAGCATCAGAGGAAACAGAGTGGGGGAGATTTGGCATCAAAGAAAAAAGGTAAATATGAAGAGTTACAACCTTAAAACCTATTTATGAGATTAAAAGCAAAGGCCAGCTAGGTAAGAAAAGAATTTCTTTTAAAACGGCTGGAATCTTGGATTAGCTGGTGTGCCCAATTCAGTCGTTGTCTTCCTCTGAGCCTTGGGTAACGTAGTCACCAGCCCAAAGCCTCAAGTCTCCCTTCATTGGCACAAGGGGCCCATATACCAGTTGTCTCTGCTACATAGCAGTGCTAGTGTATGCACAGAAAGTGAGTGTTAAGTGGTATGGTACATGACATCTGATATTTAAATATTGGAAGAATTTCGGGATAAAGGCAATAACCATAGGTGTTAAAGGATGAGCAGGCACCAGGCTCATCTCTTCAACATGAGTCATTCCATTTAATTCTCACAAGAAGACTTTGAAGTGAGTACTGTTATTGTTCCCATTTTATAAGTAGAGGCACAGACATTGAAAATCAAGTAACATGCAGAAAATGAGCAAGTTGTATAAGTCAGAACTGTAATTTCACCCCAGGACCATCTGAATTCAAAGTTTACACTCCTGACCACATGTTATGCTGCCTCCAGAAGTACACAATAGTACACACCCTGAGTATTGCCTGGTTTGGTTCCTTCCTTTGCATAAAAGTAGACAAAAGCTACACTTACAGAGAGGCACAGGTTGCCCTCAGTGACCATTCTAGGAAATTGGTCCTTTCTTCCAGGCTTGAAAATACTTAACCAGATTCACCCAAGGGAGGCACTACCAGCTCTAGACAGCATCTATCTTTTGTGTCAACAGCTCTGACAATGGAAGATTTCCTTGTTCCAGGGCTGATTTCACTCTGATTTTATATCAAAGGGTAAAGAACATGCCCTGAGTGGTCTGAAAAGTCCAGAATACACAGGAAAGAAATTCCCACTCATCAAATAAGCATATGCTCTGTGCCTCTACATCCTCTGGCCCCTGCTAGAACCAGCACACATTTATCATCATTTGGGGGAGATTTAGGCAACATGACAGAAGCATTCTAGTATTAGTTCTACTAAAAAAGAAGCATAGAAAATAATGTTTAATCTTCTGAAATTATATGCATTACTTGATCAAACAAATTCACTTACTCTTCCTAACATGGGCAACCTATGCATTAAATACATGCTCCCAAATTGTGTTCTGCAAACATGCGGAGTCCAGACACCACGTGCCACTCTCTGGCTCCTGCTGGTGCTCCCAGTTAAATAAGTTGAGCCTAAACCAGGAGATCAGGGTTAGAATTTTGCCAGGCTCAGCAAATAGCATTTTGATATGTTTAGAATCACAGGGTGCTGCTGACCTGATGTTCTTTGAAATGGGCTTAGATCTGCTCTCTACTATCCAGATTTGTCCATTCAATTTCATCTTTACCTTTGGGAGAAAAAAACAAGGTGAAGGGAAAAAATTTTATCTTCACTTTTGGGAGCAAAAAAAGAGGTGGAGTCTATAAGAAGAAATATGTAAATCTATAGTCACAGAGTCCATTATTTGAAACAAAATTAACTGGAACTATCTTCCAACCTCTACACTAGCCCAAACAGTTCTAGAATTTCAAAGGGACCAAAATAATTAAACCTAGTAATATTAAGCCAAAGAGACTTCTGACTTTTATACCAAATTAATAATTGGTCTCCTTGGTAATAAAGTTCAGTGTTAAGGTGGTTCAAATTTGTACTAGTGTAAAATTTGGCTGGCCTGGTAGCGTTAAATGGCCTTCCTACCACAGCAATGGTGTTAGTATAGGAGGAAGACCACCATAAATGATACTGCAGCATTTTTCTCTTTTGCATTTTGGCTTTGCTTTGTTGTATGATCTAAAGCAAGCACAGTATTATTGTTATCATAAAGATATTATTATAATAGTTTAGTATTTTAACATTTTTCTTTGAATAAAAGACTTTAAATGCCTGTAATATTCTAAAGTATGTTTAGTTTTAATGAGAATCTGTACTAGTTTTTGTTGGCTGCATTAACAAGTTATCTCAAACTTTGTGGTTTAATACAAATGTATTAGCTTACAGTCGTGTGGGTTAAAAGGCTGACACTAACTCATGGGGCTAACCTTGAGGTGTGGGCTGGGCAGTGTCACCTTCTGGAGACTCTAGGAGAGAATTGGTGGCCTTGCCTTTAAAAGCGTCCAGAGGCTGCCCATTGCTCTCGGCTCTTCCTCCACCTTCAAAGCCCTTGATGGGTCAAGTCCTTCTTATATCACATTACTCTAACCTCCTCTTCAGCCTCCCATTTCCACTTTCAAGGACACTGGTGATTACAAGGCCCATCCAGTCACCTAGGATAATCTCTCTACCTCAAGGTTCTTAACTTAATCACATCTGCCAAGTCCCTTCTGCCACATGAAGTAACGTATTCAGAGGCTCCAGGGATTAAAATGTGAATGTCTTTGGGGGTCTGAAATTATTCTGCCTAACAGAATCCAAATATGTTTTTGTGGAGCATATTGTCTGCTTTTTATAATCTAGGATGGCTAGAAATGAGATTTATCAGGAATGTGTGGCAACTTTTGCTAGAATGGATCTATTTTGTTAAGAGAGCATCACCTAACAGAATTTTGGATGCATATATGTGCAGTATACTGAACTATTTATATCATTGTGTGAAAATTCAGGTTTACATCAGCTATTGGAAGCTTGTTTATACGTAGTGAGTTCATCATAAACTGCACTGTTTCTGGGGGACGGTGACCCAGTGGAAAGGGTCCTGGGCTGCAGATCCACACACAGTGAACAAAGGAACTCCCAAGGAGAAAACTGTAAATGAACTCAAAGTACTAATTGGTTTGCCCTATATTTACAGGCAGAGAAAAAAATATTCTACAGGAATGTAGATAAAAGAGAGAAAGCCTTTCTGTCCCTTCTAGATTATCTAATTCCACTGGGTTGGGCGTAGAGAAGGCGCAACAGCTAACTTCAACAGCATAGAGTTACCATGAAAAAGTGTTGCTTCTAGTGTCTGTCCAAAGTCAATGGCGTAATTTCTTTAGAGAAACTGGAGACATTTTTAACTGGGAACTTGATGTCAGAAATGTTATAGGATTCCTCCTCAGTGGGTGAAGAAATTTGGTTGATAATTTTAAAGGGTTTTTGCAGTCTGCAAAGTTTCTGTTTTAAATATTTCAATAATTGTTTTGTTTACATTAGAATCAATTATTTAAAAGTATTTTATAAGCTCTTAAACAGAATTCTAGTTGATAGTATATTTGAATAAATCGGTTCCAGAGTAAAAAGTTAGTTACCTTTATCCAGAATACATTTTTTTAAAGGTATAAAAGGAACCCTGGCTAGTGTAGCTCAGTGGATTGAGCACTGGCCTATGAACCAAAGGGTCACTGGTTCGATTCCCAGTCAGGCACATGCCTGGGCTGTGGGCCAGGTCCCCAGTGGGGGGAACGTAAGAAGCAACCACACATTGATGTTTCTCTCTCTCTTTCTCCTTCCCTTCCCCTCTCTCTAAAAAATAAATAAATAAAATATTTTTAAAAAAAGGTATAAAAGGAGGACAAGCTAAAACAGAAAGTTATAAGTTCTTGGTAGTATTCTGAAGTAAATTTTCTTAGTTTAATTACATTAAAATCCTAGAGGCAAGTTCTAAATTTGTCCAAAGCTTGAGGATTAAAGAGTCATTTAAATCACTAACCACTTTGCTTCCACTTTCAGTGATGCATTTGATTTTGAGATTGGTGTGGTCATAGTCAGAATCAGCCAAGGGTTTGACATCTCTCAGGTTCTTCAGGTACAAGGTATGTACTTTCCTTATTGAATCAACAAACATTTATCGAGCCCCTACTCCATGGCTGGCGCGGAGTACTAGGTGCTGGGGATAGAGCAGTGCACAGTACAGACAAAAGCCTCTAACAACAAACAGAGCTGACGTTCTTGTGCTGACTTGAGGTTGGTACACTTCCCAGTGTTCTTCCCATCGCTAACACAAGTGGCCTTTGTCCTGATAACCAGAAATATAAAATAATCCATAGCTGTCATCAATTATTCTTCTTATCACAAAACCACAAAGCCAGCATCACTGAAAATAAACACCTTTGGTAAATTAAACTAGAAGATGTTTCAGAAGATGAAGATTAATTCTTTCCTTGGAAAACCATGTATTTTGTTTTTAAGAGTCTATGATCTAGTTTACAACTAACATGGAAATGAACCTGAATGCATCATGCTAGGAATCACTAATCGAAGTCCGAGGCAAGCACACTAATTCGATTAGTGATTCTGCTTTTTCCCTCTACATGATAGCAGGTCCATGTATACAGGACTTTTTTTAATTGACCTGCACAGTTCAATTGACCACAGTTCAACTGAACCTCACAGTTCAATTGACCCGCACAGTTCAAGGATCAGCTGTACTTGTTTAGTCTTAAACATACCCTCTAGTGTATAAAATAAAGAACACATCTAAAAAGTCACTGCAATATTAGAACAAAACAATAATCCATGGCTTATCTTTTACTTAACTTCACAATAGAGTCCACTGATGACACAGCACTAAAACAAAGGATTTTGGGGGTGCATCTTATGTAGCAGCCACAATATAGGTATCAGTGCCGAGTATAAAGACTGGTGAGAGTCTGCCTCTGTCCCCAATAGACTCACAGCCTAGTAATGGAAATGAGTATATGATTAGTGTGATGATGGGTATATTGATAGGGCATTGTGGGGAAGAGAGAAAAGGCATCTAACTCCAAGAAGGCTTCCTGGAAGAAATTACCTTGGTTTTGAGATCTGGTGGATAAGTAGGAGTTAACTAGGCAATGTTGGGGAAGAAAAAACTGAGTCTTGGGACTAGCATTTCTGACAAAGAGAAAAGCATCAGCAAAGGTGTGAAGGCATGGTAAGATGGAGGAATGCAATGTATGGGCCACCAAAAGCAAATTAGTGTTAGTTAAGTGAAAAGTTCAAGTAGACAATAGAAAATATGAGGCTGCTGATATAAGGTCCTGATTTTAAAAGACCTCATTTGCCATATTAAAAAAACATGGCTCATACTCCATAAGCAATGAGAAACTATTGAGATTTAAGTGAAAGAGTAATGTGGTCAAATTTAGGTTTTAAATCTTATACTCTTTCAATTATATTGGCATGGACTCAATAAGGACCATGAATGGAAACAGAGAGACAAATCAAAAAAGATTTTTATTTAATCAAAGCTAGAGAAGGTGACAGCCTAAACTAGAGCTATGGATGGAGAGAGAAGGATGGGAGTACTTTGGAGGTACAAAGAGAAGTATTTGAGGGTTGGGTGGATGGATAGGACATGAGAGAGGGAGAAGTGAAAAAAGATTCCTTGTGGTTCTACCAATGGAATAGGAAACACAAGAGGAGTAGGTTTAGTGACGGAATGCCTGGTTCAGTTTTAAATAATCTCCTCTGGGAAATTCTATTGGAAATGTGCAATAAGCAGTAAGATAGTCCTGGTCTTAAAGAAGAGTCATGAGCTTAAGATGTAGATTTAGGAGATATTATGGGCCATACTGTATTGCCCAAGAATTCATATGTTGAAGTCATCACCTCAGATCTGACTATTTGGAGATAGGATCTTTAAAGAAGTAAGGTAAAATAAGATTATTAGGGTGGGCCATAATCCAATAGGATTTATGTCCTTATAAAAAGAGATCAGGACACAGACAAACATAGAGGAAAGGGAGATGACGGCCATCTACAAGTCAAGGAGAGAGACACCAGAAGGAAACCAAGCCTGCCACCACCTTGATCTTGGATTTGTGGTCTCTAGAACTGTAGGAAATAAATTTATGTTGTTTAAGCCACTGAGTTGATGGTATGTGTTATAGCAGCCCTACCAAATTAATACAGGAGACATCATAGTGAAGGTGAAAGTTAAAAGTAGGACATTGGAAAATATAGCCAAAAGAGTGTGTGTAGTCAAGAGCCCTAAGGCACAGAAAAGGAGCAATCAGAGAAGCAATGAACCAGACATCCATGATGCCATGGCAGCAGAGTGCCCAAAATGGGAAGAATCATTAACATTGTCAAATACACTGCAAAGACTGGTGAATAGAATGTAATTGACACAACACAGATAATCTTAGTGAGAGTAATTCCTGTCAACCTGTATTCACAGAAGCCAGATTATAGTGGGTTGAGGAAAGAATAGGAGGAGATGAAGCAGAGAATGTGGATGTGGCCAGCCATTCTGAGAAGTTTAGATGTTGAGGAGGTTTACTACAGGGAGACCTATAGACCTTAGAATGGAAGACAGAGCCATGTTTTTAGACTGAGAAAGTGGGCCCAACAGAGTGGGAGAGGTTGAAGATGAAAGTTAAAAAAAAGTGTGGGGATGGGGTGGGGGCTGGGAATGACCTTGGAGTAAGATCCTGGAGGATCAGGAGGGGTCAAGAGAAAGGTGTGAACAGAAGAGTTGACCTGAAACAAAAGAAAAATGCTTCATGAAGTATGTGGTTTTGTAAGAGTGGAGTGATGAATTGAGGAGGATTGTGTACATTAGTCTCAATTTTTTTGAAGTCGGAGCAATTTGTCTCATTGTCCAGTTATTCTCCAGCAGCATTTGGCCTCCAGGGTGTATAAGGATTAGGGTTTTGCTGGGTAGGTCCAACAGAAAGGAAAGGCCTAGGAGGGATTTGAGGGTGCTGGCACCTGACGGGTCCAGATTCTACTTGGCCATTTCACGATTGTCTCCATCGTAACAGGAGGAAACATGAGTGGATTAGGTGAGTTCTCTGATGCAACCATTCTGGTGTGTTGTGAGGGAGAAGGAGAAGGAAAAGGAAACTAGAGATCAAGAGTTTGTATAGGACAGAGAATAACTATCTGTTATGTACACTCTATGATTATGTACAAAGAGCTTTAAAAGAATTGAGAACAGAGTCCATCCTATGCAATATTGTAGCATGAAGGTTATCTTTGGTATCTTCAATCTCCCAATTGGTATCTTCAATTTCCCTAAAAAGGAAAGCTAGAGAAGACAATGACATACATAATGAGAGACAGTTGTAAAATCTGAAATATGGGAATGGAACAAGGCTGTTCCCACCTGTTTCTTCAAAACCCCAGCACAGGGTCTGCCTGTCTGTGACAAAATAGACATGACATCGAGGACAATTGTAAGAACCTAATATTAAGAGACCTGCTGTGTTGCTAAATTTCTATATTTTACTTTAATTTTGGCTGCCTTTTGTGCTGTAATGTTTTTCCCTAAACAGTGAGAATAAAACATGCAACTGTATTTAGATTACATCTTTGCTTTGTATGCTATGTTGATCTCTTCAAGCTGAAAGATCTGATATAGCTAAAAAATATTGCTCCCACCCCCACTACTCCATCCACCAAAAGGCATCATCAATTTAGCTCTATACAGAGCTAAAGCAATACAGAAGCTCATTTTGCATGTAGTATTTCTGAAGGAATCCTGGCAGTGAACTGCATCCCCTTTTAATTTCCCAAGGGATGTATTTGATTTATATCAACTTTGATGTTTGAAATATTTCTGCTTCTTAGTCAAGAAAGGGAAAGCATAGTTGAATGCTAATAAAATAATTATAAGTACCAATTATCTAGGCTAAAAAAAACAATATTACACAAATACATGAAGAACATGCAGAAAAACAACAGCATAATGATAGAAATTAACTTTACACTGAATTTCCATGCATTCTTTTGAAGTTTATTTAATTTATAGCACAACCCTCATATTAGATTTTGAATTGGAAGAAATAAGCTTGTGTTTCATTATATTACACTGTAATACAAGGCTTAATAAGAGCCTGATAAATCTTAAGTATTGCATTACACTATGCTAATGATTATCATCATAGCTTTTCCAACACAGGCACCAAGGTGTCATCACAGATTATAATTTAAAGGAAATATTAGCAATTCAGAGTGCCCATATACTGTAGTTAATAAAGCAGTGAATAGAAATCAACTTTATAGGTAATTTGGTAGCTAATGACAATTATTTCTATTCTGTGCCACAGGCTTATGTGAAGAGAATAACTTTTTGTATAAATAAGATCGATACTCGTAACATTCTAATTTGTACTCTGCAGCAACTCATTCAATACTGGTGGCTGATAGCGTCTCTTAATAAATTAATTTATTGCCCAAAAACACAAAAACCTCAGTATTTCATGTTGTTCACTTCCCAGGGGTGTTTAGCAAGTTTGCCAACTTCAATAGAGAGTCCAAGTTATTCTGGTAAGAAATCAAGTGATGACATGTGGTTTGCAATAATTGTGATCAAGTAGTCCATGGAAGAACTGCACAATTTATGAGCATCTCAGAGCACAGGGATTCTGCTGTGTCTGAGGAAGTGGCTTAGCAAAATAGAGACAGATGGCGGTGCAGTGAATAACTACTTCATTGGGCGGTGGCCACTGCAGGACTGCTTCCTGCCTTTGGTTCAACTAGACTTTGCCCAGGCTACAGCACATTGATTCATGTGAGCGTTTACAGCGTTGAGTTGATTGACCAAAGGAAGAAGCATGATTTAATAATTAATAAAGAAAAAGGATGCTGCAAAGTGGGAGGGGATGCAGTTCCTCAGGGGGTTTCCCTGTTCTCCCTGGTGTTGTGACATCATTGACTGCTCTCTCTCCTGAAGATTCAGAGTGAATTGTGATGTGCAGACTCCTGACTATTTCTAAAAGATACCTTTTTTTAAAAAAAGACTGAGGATAGAACATTTGAGGCAATCTTAGCACTAAATTGAATTTCAAAATATGGTGACTCCAGCTAGTTACCATACAATCAACTTATAAAGCACATGAAAATAGAATAACTACTATTCAAGTGGTTTGGCATTTTTATGAAGATACAGCTCAGGATTCACTGTTTTTACTGTAAGAACTGTTTGGGGTTATGTATGAACAATTGGTTATAAACTCACTCAACAGAGAGCCTAAAGCCTAACCTTTTTCATCCAACATTAGGGATTCTCCTAATCTTAGATTGAGAGAATGGCAGGATTACACTCTCTCTCTAGTATTGTGGCTTTGCAAATTATGATGGAGTATGGAATTATCTAACATGGAAAATTAAAATTTCCACCTGATGCACAGGTGGTAGCCTTTTCCAGGGAAAGGACCCCTTTCCTTGCCCCTCATTCTTCTGACTAATGCCACCTGTCCTACCTTTGGCCCCTTCCAGCCTGGTTTATACCACCAGTACATTAGCACCTCCTCTTATCCCTCTGTGTACAGCATTAACTCCACTTTTTCCAAACATTGTCTTTTGTACCTACCCCCCCACACACACATTACTCACCTCATCCCTGACAACTCTCCACTTATTTTTTTCCCTTTCTAGAGGAAATACTTTCAAGTGTTTTGAGCTGTACTAACAGTGCTGACCTGTTCTTTTATTTCAACACACTATTCTTGGGTACTTGTTATAGTGGTACGAGCAAAGAGGTGTGGGGAAAACTAAGAAACTGAGAGAGGGAGAATGTGAAGTCTAAACATAGGACTCTGACAAGCCTGGGCTCAAACCCCAGCTTGACACTTGTTGGCTGTGTGACCTTAGTCAAATTATTTACCCTCTGTGTTTCACTGCGCATTTCCACATTGGAATAATTATAGTGCCTGCCATATAGATTTACTATTTTGCACTAAAATATACGATGGCTGCCACGTGTTCAACACTGTACAGTGGTACCTCAGGACCCTTCCAGAGATGAAGCATTTTCTCTTGGGGGGCAGTGCTGTGACTCATACCAATTCCAGCTCATGCAACGAATCCCAAGCAAGTGCCGAGGGCTGAAACATTTTTTTCTCATCAAAATGCCACGAGTACAGAGTTTGACGAGATCTGAAGCAGATGAGTGCCAAGGTGTGACTGTGCTTGGCACAAAATAAAGTCGCAGTAAACAGTGGTGATAAAGTAGAGCCCACGCTGCCCTTCAGCAGTTTGCCGTCTAGTGGGGTGGAACAGGCGTGAGTCTTCCAAATGCTCTGTGTCCCTTGGCAATAAAGTGGAAGCAGAGTATTGCAGAAATGGAGAGCATTATGTGAATTTCTCTGATTGGGAAATTTGGGTGGGGGGCGCGGTTCTTCAAAAAATGCAGATTGGGTGTTCCTTCAACTGGCAGATGCTGGCAGTCAGAGCATGTCACCGAAGAACAATGGTAAAGAGCGGCGAGCACCAGAGCTGGAAGCAGAGGGCTTGGGTGGCCGACTGTGCAACCCTGGGCAAATCACTCGAATTGTCTGAACCCAAGTTTCCTTTACATTAAAATGGGGAGACTATTACCAGCTCTGCCTGCATCCCAGTATTGGCATGGGGATCAAATTAGATACCACGTGGAAAGGCTTTGTGAACCCTGAAGGTCACAAAAGTAGTATGGTAGTGACAGTAGCAGTGATGAAGTGAGTTGTTTTTATTGTCAGCCCTGTGGAAATCAGTTTATGTCTCTCCATTCTACCTGGATCACCTGCCTGTGCCTAATGGTCAGCTTGCCCCCTCCTGTTGAAAGAAATGTTTGACGGAGTCTGCTCTTGATTTCTTTTGCACACATAGGCAAACAGTATACCAGATAGATAATTCAGAACAGAGCATCAAAACATCCCTTCTACTTGGTGCTGAAATGAGAGGGGAGGGAGTACGCAGAAGGAGGCTTTAGATCACCTACAAAGTGAATAATGAAGAATTAACTCTAATGAGAACTTGTGAAATCACTGTGCCAAGGATCACACCACTGTGTGGATCTGAAAATTCCAGATGGCCAAGCAAGCAGATTTTAGCCTTTAGAATAGCCTCTGTTTCTGTCATCTTTGAGGGAACTGTCAAAACTGACTCATTCAAGCAAAGTCTGGCTTTGTCCTTCAGGCCTGGGAGTTTGCAGCTCATGCTGTCCAGCATGGGCTGTGTACCCACCTTCGAGCAGACTGTTGGAGCAGCTCCCAGTGTACTCAGCCAGCTGACTCTGTTACAAAGAAGGATTTATCTTCTGTTCTCCTTTGTCCAAACTAGAGGACAAAGAGCATGGCAACTAACTGGCCAATCACAGGGTGTGCTGGAGCCAGCCAAAAAATGAAAGCAAGTGAACCTCTTCCCCACCTGTCCTTACAGTTGCCCCCAAAGAAGCTCCCAAATATGCACCTTCCAGATGCCTGAAAAGAGCAGTTACTCTACAGCTGCCCCCTGCAGCACCCCAAAATGTGGATAATAATAGCTGGGGGACTGTCACCCAGGGCCAGGATGATGCTGATGTTGCTACTCTGGGCAGCCTGATATATGTACCTGAATCTTTAGGGTCCTTCCCTTTACAACGATATGTTTGAGGGGCTATAGTTTGGGAGAATTAACTTGGCATTATCCCACATGGTTGAGAGTGTTTGCGTTCCTCTGATGATGAAGAGCTGGAAGTTAATAAGACAACTCTGACATAACAGCAATAAGCCAAAAGCAAAAGGTCTTCCATGTTGGAAATATGCGGGATTTGGAATCAAGCAGACCTCTTTGTAGTTGAATCCTTTTACTTGCTGTGTAAAAGCAGACATCAGACAGGTTAGTCACCTTTCTGAGCCTCAGTTTCTTCATCCACAAAATGAGGATTATCACAGTTACTATTTCAGAGTTGTTTGCCAAGGAATAACATGCACACATTCCTGGCACCTGGAGAGTGTATAATAAATAGTAACTGTTAAAATAATTCCCAGGCTTTCCAAAATACTCAATTTGCTTTGCATGACTAAGCCCATTTCCAGGAGTTGCATAAATACACTGCCTATAGAATGTACTGGTTGCTTTGCTTTTTAAGGAGCTCCAAAGCACTACACAAGAACTGTCATTTACTCTTTTTGCAATGCTAGGAAAATGGGGAAGGGTTACAGTTTTCCATTTCACAGATAGGAAATCAGAGGCATAGAAAAAGTCAATGACTTGCTTAATGTCACATAAAGCCAGCAGCAGAGCTATAATCGGTCACGACCCCCAGTGCAATGCAGCTTGTATTCACTTTTCAAAAGTCAGGGGTAAGAAACTCCTTTCTGAGCTTTAATACCATCAGTCTAATTTCTCAGATTTTCTATAGCTGCTGATCTTGAGAACCTTTGAAGCTTTGGGGAAATCACATGGCTGATTTGACCTTACATCTCATGCCACTGGCAAAAGATTAATTGCTAAGACCTGGAAAGGGGCCAGACGATTCCGTGTAGCTGAATAACAGCACTGTCTAGGGATGTGAGTGTCCTGACAGATTTAGTTAGTGCATAATTGATAAATCTAGAGTTTGTATAGCTTCGCTTCCCAGATAGATGAGGCAACAGGCTCGGAGGGTTGACATTTGCAGAAGCCTTACCAGTGTTTTGTAACATTGAATCTAGGTTTTCTACTCTCTGTCTCAGAACATTGCTCCTTTTCTAAGGCTCTGTTCTCAGCAGACAAGAAGATGAGGGGATCTGACCAGAGGCGCACTGTGCTCACTGGAAGCGGGAATGCCCACCACTCTTCAGCACTGTCCTACGACCACTCTCAAAGTCTTTATTTACCCTGCTCCAGTGCAAGTGAGGCCAGAGAAGACTGTAACACATCACACAGCAGCTAGTTTTTCATCACAGTCAGAATCCCCAAAAGATAAAAGGCAGCCAGACACAATGTCAAAGTTTGGATAGTGGGTCTGAACCATGGACAGGAAATTCTGCACAGCCTGTTATTCCAGACTCTAGTGTCATGAGACCCTTTTTAGCAATCTGAGCCCAGACAAGCACACAAACATCTTAGCTTTGGTTGCTTTTGCTTTGGTCACTCACTCCAGAAAGTATTTTGTTTATCGGGAAGAATTGGAGGTGGACATTTGTCACCATCATTTGTATTCAGAGCCCATAAATTTTACTGTAAGGTTTGGTTACCTTTCCTTAATTCCTGTTCTCTAGTCTTATGTTTCGATTCGGAAGGCATTGTTGTGCCTGCTCTACACCCAGCATACTTCTGTAGTTCGGTCGCTTCCACCTGGAAAATACCTGACTCGGTGGCTCAGGTCAGAAAATCAGCGGCTTTCAGTATATAAGATCTTGTGTACAGTGGGTCTGGCTGTTTGGTTTTTGCATGAAGTGAATAAAGATGACATTAACTAGCCCTTATAAATAAAAACATAGTAACTTTCATATGTTCTAATTAACACATAGAGCTATTTTAGGTAATTATTACTTTCTTAATATCATTTACTGACATTACATTACTTTTTAATAATCATTCAGAAAAAAATCATATTATGATAATCATTTTGTTGCTGATATGCCATTTTGATATTAAAATCGTTTATGAGTGTTCCTAAAAATTTTGCTTCTCTGAGTTTAGTAAGTGACTTTGTCTTCTCTCTTCAGATGAGCTAGAGAAATTAGAACAGGAGAGGCTGGCTTTGGAAGCCACTATCAAAGACAATGACAGTGAGGAAGGAAGTGGAGGCATCCGAGGCTTGTTTAAAAAAGCTGGCAAGTTGAACATTACTAAGACACCTTCTAAAAAAGGTAAGTGGTGGAGTAGTACACTTATATCTAAATATTAGGTGTACATCCTGGAACAGAGGACTGGAAATGAAAAATCTTGCTATAAATTTCATAAAACACAGTTGATTCAAACATTTGGGGGGTTTTTTTGTTTATGTTTTTTGTTTTTTTGAAAACTGCTCTGGATTTCCAGAAACAGAGCAGTTTTGAGTTTAATGAGGTCCACAGCGACCTCTGCTGGTAGAAAGTTAGAATGTTAACATTTATTTCTGTCACACAACTAATAATCCTAGTTACTGGAGTCATTCACTGGTGTGCAGCCCACGAAAGATTTTCTGTAGTAGGGTCTTGAAGTCAAACAGCAAGATCCAAACTGTGATATAGCAGTCTTCTAGACTAGGCTGACAGAATCCAACCTTTTGAAGAAGCTGTCTCCTACCCTGGCAAAGGTTTGGTTTTCTTTCCTTGTTTTTCTACTGTAACCCAAGGGTGAAATTTATGTATACACATAAAATATATATATCTTTATATACCCCTTCAAATGCCAGAGCTTCCCGTAGGTACCTACAATATTGCATGGGCAATTAAGAAAGCCGAGTCTGTATTGTCACCCTTAAAGTGTCATTTTCTAGGAAAACAACGTGTTTAAATCTAATGTTGGTGGTATTATCAGGACTTTAAGGCTGTAAATATTAGAGTCTCACCATCTGGATGCTAACTGCTATCTTCTTTTCTTTCCAACTATTTGGTTAATTCATTAGAAGAGTTAACTCTCCATTGAATCTGTTCTATTCAGTAGCACAGTCTGGAAAAGCAATGGAAAATTTAGAAGTCATAGCCCAATACTGTTTGTATCATTCTCTAGCTGATGGCAAGGAGGGCAGTATTCACGTCCTTATTAATGAGGGGGACGTATTATTTATTCCAGAAGCCTGTTTCTGCATCACAATACTTTTGGCAAAAAGATATTGCTCTGAAAGTCAACACGTCTCATTGTTTGAAAAAGCAAAGTAAGGTTGTGTGTTCTACCCAACACCTAAAATTTCAGACACAGCTCTAAGGCAGGCCCGTGCACTGCTCTGGGCTTCTGCTGGTTAGCAGCTCTTTTGAGCTCTAGATCAAGACCAGCTCTGCCTCCAGGTACTCATGCTCAGAGCCCTCTGGGGGCTTTGATGTGCGTGTAAGTGGGGGCAGGGTTTGGTCCATTTTGTAAATGCATTTACTTTCTCCCTCAGCAGTCCTGGGGAGATAAAAACAATATAAGATAATTGCTTTAGAAGGGGGAGGCCCAAAACAGGAAAACAGCAAAAGACAGAACAAAGCATCTTTAGAACCTCTTAGATCAGAGAGGAAGCTCTGCATGCTGTCAGCTCTCCTCCAAGCACTACAGTGACACCACCTCTTTGAAATAAGCAATAAAGTCACAACTTTGAAAGACATGGAAATAAGAAATAATATATACAGTGTAGCAAAGAAACCCCTACTGGCAAACAGAAGCAAGGGTCCAGTTCAAACACTGGCCTAGTTCCCCAGAACACTTTCATTGTGTCCATGTCAGATTGGAAATCGCACTAAAACTTTTTTCAAGTATTTCATGTGCACCCTTAATTATAGCTCAAGTAAAAAAAATTGTCTTTCCATATTTCTTGGGTTTTTCATCTCATTCACAGAAACTGAAATAGCTCGAATGGCTTTATTTTAACTTCACAAGACTCCTTAAACAGGCTGGCGTTAGGATCGAAGGGTCGCACACAGTCATACATATCATCCCTGGCCTCCTGCACGATTTGCATTCATGGAATTCACACCAGGAATTGTCTAATGAAGGAATACTACTGATTCAATTACTTCTTTCCAGAAAATTGATCACCATGTGTTCTACTTTCAAGTAAATCTGAAAATATGATTAAATTGAGTTATATATGAAATTTGTAAAACTCAGGATTTTTTTCTAGCTAATTTAGCATTGTTACGTGTCTAAGTAATGATTTCACTCTAAGACCAGTAACTGATAGCAGTTAAAGAATAACATTTCTCCCAAAGACTTTACATTATTTAGCTGACAATGTGGGAATGGAAAAAGATCTAATCTGAAAATAATCCATAAAACCAATATCTTAAATTTTCAGCCCTGACCAGGTGGCTCACTCACTTAGAGCATCATCCCATACATCAGAAGGTTACAGGTTCGATTCCAGGTCAAGGCACATGCCTAGGTTGGGTTCTCTGCCTGGTCAGGGTGCTTATGGGAGACAACCAGTCAATGTTTCTCTCTAACATGGATGTCTCTCTCTCTCCCCCCTTTCCTCTCTAAAACATATTCTGGGGTAAAGATTTTTTAAGTTTTTTTAAACTACTGAAGATGATATAAATTACCATGTGTTCAACATTTATCTACCCTTTTCAGAGAACAAAGTTCACTATTTACCTATAAGTAAAAAAATTCTTAATTCGTGACCCTTCCTCCATTTTCATAAATAGATCTATTGGAAAATTATTTTGTTTCTTTCCTCAAAAGACGAATGGATATACTACTTTCTTTTTCATTGCAGACAGCAGCATTAACACAATCCAGTCTATGCACGTGGGGGAGTTCAACCAGAAACTGGTAGAAGCCAGCACACAATTTAAAAAGAAGCAAGGAAAAGGCACAATTGATGTTTGGTGGCTGTTTGATGATGGAGGTAAAATTTTCTGGAATATACTCTCGGGAGCAGAATTTCTGTGTTGATAAATTTAACAAACAGCATGGGAAGGTATATGAAAAAGATAGCAGTTAAAGAATAACATTTCTGTGCTCTCCAAAGACTTTACATTATTTAGGAGCTGTGAATGTGGGAATGGAAAAGATGTAAAGCCATTCATTTCCTTTCAGTAAGATATACTCATTCTTTCTGTCATAATTTACTTTTTTTCAGGGTTAACACTCCTTATCCCCTATATCTTGACTCTCAGGAAAAAATGGAAAGACTGTAAATTAAGAATCTATGTCGGAGGGAAGGTTAACCGCATTGAAGAAGAAAAAATTGCGTAAGCAACTTATCACTTGTGTTAGCACATTTTGGGTGTTTGTTGTTCTAATGTTTTAATTATAAGAACTTTAAGTGACTTTGAGGTACAATAGATTTAAAGAAAACCCACCATGATACACTTCATAGTTACTTGGTGTTCTAGTCAATATATTATCTGTGTAAGTTTTCTAACCACTGTCCTTTCATCCTCTGCCACAAATACTTTCAAAAAGGAGTTTGGCACAGAAGCCTCATCTTGTCTTGAATGAATGTATCATTATCTTGTATAGAGTTTATTGTGTTCTGACTAGTAAGTGAATCCCAGAAAGGAAGAGCCTGCTGGCATTTGTGTCCAACAGCTCCTTCTGGGAGGCCCACACGCAGTCATTCCCAGCAGGCACTGCAGCACAGATCACTTTTAACAGAGAGCTGAGAGGCTGCCCCTGGTCCTAGTCCCGGCCCCACCACCACCCGGCTGCCCGACTCTGCAGTCACTGCACCCCTATGGGTCCCCACCTTCTCATTTGTAGTGTGGAAGAGTTTAAATGCATGACTGTTGAGAATCTTTCTAATTAAAAATAGAAACAAAGAAAGTCTCACAGTATAAGTCTCTATCTTTATTAATTAACTCATGAAGAGCTGCTGCGTAGTTGTGAGAACAACAGGCATACCGAGCAAGAATGTAGTGCAGCCAGAGTTCTGCAGGAACTCTGAAGGACCTTCAGCAGCTTCCAGGCCTTCATGGCATGTGTGCGTCCTGAGCCCTTTCTGGAATCTGCTTCCAGAAATCACAAAGTAGCAATGGGCTCTTACTTGATGATGTTTTTAAATATTTTCTCCCCCTTCTTACGAGGTATCATATATTTAATTTCTCTCAAAGAGGGTCATATTAAAATGAAAACAAACATGATGTCTATAACAGTTACATTTTCTTAAAGCCTCTAGGGTCTCATTGGGACAACTGACAAAAGTTGAAAATGGTTAGTGGATTAGATGACAGCATGGAATCAATGTTAAATTCCCTGATTTCAAAAATTGTACTCTATATAAGAGATTGTCTTTGGTAGGTAGGTGGGCAGATAACGAGAAAGCATGAAAGCAAGCAAAGAAAAGAAAGGAGGAGACAGATGTAGATAGATGGAAACATATAAAGAGAGAAAAAAGAATGATAAATCAAAAAGGGCAGAACATAAAATTGATTTCTTTGCACTATCCCTGCAATTTTTTTGTAACTTTGAAATTGTATGAAAATTTTCAGTTGTCAGTGGAAGAAAACCTCTAATATATAATAATATACTGTCAACCAATGGTCACTGGCATCAATGGAGCACCAGTTTGGGGTGTACTGAAGAAGAAAACTTTAATCAGTCCAAACAGCTCAATTGTGATAGTGCACAACTGTGAGAACAGCGCAGCTGTGAAACAGTTCAGTAGTGTTACAGCTCAATTACGAAGCAGCACAGCTGTGGAACAGCATGGCTGTGAGGCGGCCCTGGGGCAAGGTGGCTCTGCTCTGCTCCAGTCTGCTCCACCTGCGCTGGCCTGTTCTGTACCAGTCACTCATCCTGCTCTGCCCTCCCTTGCTCCAGTGAGACTTTTTCAGCTCCAGTTGGGAAAAGGCAGTCTCTGTCTTTGGTGGAAAGGGAGAGTGCGCTCTCCAAGCCAGAGGAGAGTGCTTTATAGAGAGAAGTCCCAACCCCTGGTCCCTGACTAGTCTGTCCTCATGTAAATGAGGACTCCAAATAGTCACAGTTGGATTGGTCCAAAAATCACTGTCTTCATTGGTCAGAATGGAGTCGCTCTGGTCAAAGAAGATGCTGTTGCGGCTATAGCTGTGCAGCTCTGATTGGACTGAGAAAGTCTCAGTCTTATTGGTTGAAATCGAATTCCAAGACTTTCTCTACAAGAGCAGGCTCAGATGGCAGGAACACAGTGCAGACAGGCAGTTCAGTGCAGGAGGCAGGCAGTGCAGTGCAGGCTTCTCCCACAAGTGCGGTTTGTGCACAAGGCCCCTATTTAGAAACAGCTGCTGGACTTTGATTGTAAATTTGAGTCCAGTTAGCCACCAGGAGCCCTTCTCAGAAGGTATCTTCTTTCTCAGAGTCCACTGTAATTATTAGTTTGTGAGTATCTTGACAGTAAACTCTAAAAATTATCAGCAAAATAGTAGTCAATAAGTATTAAAACTTGTTCTTTTTTCAAATGATAAAGACATTTCGACAGCTCTACATTATTTTCCCTGAAACTTAACGCAGAGCTGGGTTCGCTATTTCCAATGTCTGTACCTGTAGGAAGTTGTTTTATTTTTTTTTCCTTCAGTGGAAGCTTGATTCACACTTAATATATCTATCAAGTATGATAATGAAAATCAAACACGAACAAGACTTTGTCTGAAAGCTAAGTGGAAATAAGACATGATTGCTTTGGATATCTTAAACACAGAACTCTATGAAATGTAGCTAAATATGGAATGACAAAGGTTTTTTTCTCCTTATATTTTCAGAATGGCCTCCCTTCTGAGCAAATTTAGAATAAAATTTGCAGACATCCATATCATTGGTGACATCAATATTAAACCAAACAAAGAAAGGTATGAATCATTTAACAAGGTCCATTTTTTTAATCTGTGATGGTCTGTCATCTCTTTTGTGTCAATTATTAAAAGGGTAAAAATGCTATGTATTAACTGCAGTAACTTCCTCATAGGATGTAAGAAAAAGGGACTTCAAATGATCACGACACAGGATTATCAAATACATTCTAAAGAAAGAAAAACTCTTATGGTGGAGACGAGCTTGAGAGGGAGAATTGTTGAAATGCAGTTTAGTTAGCATTTTAGAATTGCCCTTCATGTTCTTTGTGTCTATGATGGCAAGAATAGCAGGAAGTATAAGCTGAGAGGACTCTGACCTGAACAGTCAGGGCAAGTTCCTGTTATTTAAAGTTACTGGTGGGGCATCCTGGATGGAGAGCTCCGGTGGAGAAGACATGGAAACAGCTTGTGTCTTCTTGGCACAGTGACGGCACCAGCCCTCTACAGCCATTCTAGCTTTTAGGCACTAAGGTTTCAATAATTAGAGTCTATGAGGTCCCCAAAAGGAGGTCTTTAATACTACCTGAAGTCTGACAAGGAAATGTATTGGCTCCAAAATTTAAACATAACAGAATTGAAACACTTGTTTAAGTGTCTTCAAAATATGACTTCATTTTAACCTTCTTTAATTATTAAATTGTCAAGTCCAGGATATTTAAAAACAAGTTGAAGGTTAGATCTTCACAGCAATTCCCAGAGGTGCAAGATTACCTGGAAATGATAGCTGATATGAGTTCAGTGAACAACTTAGAGCAGTAAGTTAACCATTATAAATGTTTTCAATTGTTTACAGTCTGAAATCATGTTTAGTATTGCGTCTGAATGTGATTTTACATGTTTGATTTGGTGTGGAATGGGGCTCCTAAGGCTAGCGTGGAGAGAGGCAGGAAGGTGTGCCTTAGGCCTTCCCCGGCCGCGGGCCTCTTCTCATTTCCGTTGGCCCTCACTGCTCCCTCCTCCTGCTGGTCTTGGGTTGCCGTTCCACGTTCCTCGGGTCTTCTTGCTCTTCCCTTACTTTGGTTCATATATCCTGTATGAGCTTAATAACTAACTGAAAGTCATCTGAATTTAGGATACATTGTTATTTAACATTTAACATGTATTCATTTAACAATGAATAACCTTGAACTTCATGCTGTTGCAAGGTATTCATGATTTCTCCAAGGCTATGGGTCACTTAAAATGGCTTTACGAACACCTTAGCTGTGATAAGCTGTAGTTGTCAGGGTTGACCTAGGTTATCACTATGTAATATTTCTTCATATCACGTATACCACAAATTCCTTCATGCAATAATCTCTGATAGCCTTCCATATTTCATTTGAAGAATTTTAATGTCTAAGACATTGTCTCTTGGCATTTGCAGGGATGTGATCAAATGAACTATTCTTATGACTCTGATTGGTGGAAATTTCATAACATTGCAGGTCCAGTGACTCCCTAGCATGTGCCACTTAGCAGCAGACCAGAGCCTGCCAATGCTTTTCAAGTACAGGGCCATTTACTGTTGCCTAGAGGGTGGTCACAGCGTGCCCTGCTGACTGGATTTTCTATAAGCCTTGGTTCAGTCCTGGGCACAAATTAGTCACCTACTTGTAGCTGAATTCTTCTTCTTGTTATTTGTTTTTTGTCTTAGCAGCTAAGGACTATCTATTCTTGTTGATCAATTTGTTCCTACTTCTTTGTCCCCTTACCCATTAATATGATTTTCTCTACCCAACTCCTTGTTTCCTTCCCTTTCTTTCTATCTTTATCCAAGGATGTGCTTATTGATTTTAGAGAGAGTGGAAGGCAGGGAGAGAGAGGGAGAAAAACATTCATTTGTTGCCTCTCATATGCACCCTGACTAGGAACTGAACCCACAACCTAGGCATGTGCCTTGACCAGGAATCATACCTGCAACATTTTGGTTTACAGGCTGATTCTCCAACAAACCGAGCCACACTGTCCAGGGCTCCTTCCCTTTCTTTCATGCTAGTCTGTGCCATGGTCAGCCTATCATACCCATCATTTATGTCCAATCACCAAGAATGTCAATGTACTGCTTCCATTAGCCATGCCTCTGCATTCTTCCATTGCCCAGCATCATCTAGCCACTCTTCATCTTACTACCTCTGACCTTTGTATCAAGGTTTCCTCTTTTCAGGGATCAAACTCTATGAACAGTAGTAAGAAGCAGAGACCCAGGCATTTTTGCTTGTTTCCTGGTAGCTAAATTTAATTTTAGATACCATTTTAATTGGGTGTTTCTTACATACCCTCCTCATCCTGCAATGAAGAGATCTATTTCCCTTTCTCAGGAAAAAAACATGAGTTAGTTTTCACAATCTCTGAGGGTTTTTTCCCTGATATTTCAAGGTCTTGAGGAAGATGCAGGGGAGGAATTAAAATTGAATTTCTCACTGGAGTTAGCGAACTTTTGCAGTGAACACCCTGGCACAAAGCTAAGAGGCCACCAGGAGGAAGTGTGCTGGGTGTGCTGCCCCCCTCTCTTCAGCCTCTGCTGCACCTGATGCCATGTTCCTTTATACAAGTCATCTACCTATCTGATGTTGGCAACGGCTGTTCCAACATTGGCAGGTAAATTTTAGAAGACAGAATGGCGATTCAGTAAATCTTACATATGGCTACTTGGTAGCACATCTGGCACCTTGGTGATGATTTTAAAAAGGCAACACCTCAGGGTGTATCAATGAGAGAGAGTACTCTTCCTGTGGGCTGACGCAGCTTTGGGCCCAGGTCCCAAAGCTGGGAGCACTGGCTCAGCGTCGGCTCCCACCTGGGCCTCCCCGGCTGAGCAGCCCTTACCTACCATCAACAACTGTCGCCGGGTCCCTGGTTTTGGTTTTTGGTCACTGGGTGATGCTGAATGTCCAGGATTGTTTGTTAGTGATTTCGGTGCTGGAGGCTAAGGTTAAATGTCCTTAAATTGTGTTTAATAAATCTTTCAACTACCATAAAACATCAATAAGTCATATGGGGACATTTTATCATAGAAACATTATCTATAATATAGAGCAAGGGTGAGAGGGAGTACAAAAGCAAAGTTAATGAGAAACTAATTGAGCCAGGAAAAACTGAAAAGCTCTTGTGGTTGAATTTCATTTTTTATTGTGTAACTGAATTAAAAGTCATAGGCCAAAAGGACAATAGTCTTTATATAGAAATCAGGAGAAACTAGAAGCAATTAACTAGACAATTTAGTTTAAAGATGCTAGAGTGGCCATAAAAATAACTAGTACGTTAATTGGAAAGAAGAAATCTTATGTAAATTGGGGGGGAACTTTTATACAATTAAAACATTTTAAACTTTGTTATTATGAAGAACAGGATGGAGAAGGCAAGGCAGCTGGAGGTAATATTTTAATTGAATTAAATCTCATTTATTTTTAATAGCATGTAATGCTTGGCCTATTCTTGAGTCATTTAAAAAAATACTTATAAGAAAAATCACATTTAATGAGAATTAAAATAAAAGTCTTCAGCTAACTTTGGGTTACCTAGCTAGAAGATAGGAAATGACCAGCTCAGGGTGAGGATGAAGTTAAAGGTGAACATAGTCAAAGAGTAGTAAGAATTCAGAGAAAACATATGGGCAAATACAGCCCGTGACAACCTTCTGTGTCACTTTAGCATGTTTCAATTGCAAGTAAAAGAAAACACATAGTGACTTAAGTAATAGAAATTATGTCAAACATAACTAAAAAGTACAAATGTACATGGGGGGGACCAAAAAACAAAAACAAAAAATGGAATTATCTCCTGGCAAGTGGACCCCTTGCAATACTGGCTCCTCACTGCTAGTTGAGTGTTCTAGGAACCCATCTGTAGCAGTGTACCAGCTGGTGTTGTTGTGAGAGGCTACATTCAGCTTCAGTGAATGTTTTTTTGAAGACTCTTTCAGCGCACTTGCCCATTTCATGATGGGTGATTTACGAGCACACCTGCCCATACTACGCTGAGTGTTCAGCAGTTTTTGAGCAAAAAAATGACATGACCCCCATGCCCCACCCTCCCTGTTCACCCGATCTCACCTTGAGTGACTTTTTTTGTTTCCCTGGATAAAAAAAGGCCTCAAAGGGGAATGTTTTGCCAATGTGGAAGAATTGAAACAAAAAACAACAGTACTAAAAGGCATCAAAATAGATGAGTTCAGAAACTGTTTTGAGCAGTGGAAAAAACATCTCAATAGGGGTATTGCATGAAATGGAGAATACTTTGAAAGTGACTGAAGTTTACACATGTAAGAATAAATACACAATTTTTATTAATAAATTACATTTTGGGGGGAGTCCCCCCCTTGTATTTTGGTTTTCAGGCAAAGCTTGATCTAGAAAGTTAATTTTGCAATCAAAGACTAATTCTCTTTCATTCTCTCTACTCTACCTTTCATTATGAAATTGTAAGTTCAAATTGATTTTGCTGATAAAAACAACTGTCCATAGCAACCAGGACTACATTTTTGCGAATTTATGTTCAGTGAGAAAGTTTGTCTCTTCCCCAGTCATTGAATTCAGGTCATGGGCACCATTTAGGCTGTAAGACACTGCACCACTCACCATGGTCAGGTGGAATGCTAGGTCCCTATTGATCACGCTTACCTGGGTTATGTGCCCACCCTGCCCAGCCACTGTGGCAGAAAGGATAGAATTGTGCAGATTGGCTAATGCTTCGGATGGAGTCATTCCCACCCAGACCACAATGGGGAAGGTAGTACAAATGCTGGGGGACAACCAGCTACCTCCATTCCACCTTCTATTTCTTAGGAAACTATTTCTGAACTGCTCTTTCTAATAAGCCCACTAAGATACAAAGAAAACTCTTATCGTGATCAAAATAAGCATGTGGAGAGCTTAAAGAGAGAGCCTCTCAGTGGCTAACCTCAACCTGGGGCTCTGCAGTAAAATGAATTCCTTGCCTTTACAGAGCACTGCACACTTTTCACAGCACTGTCACCAAAATCATCATACTGACCCTCATGCCAACCCTCATGCCAGCTCTGAGCAGCCATTGTCACCCCTTTTATAGGCGGGGTCACCCATGTTGTAGAGGAGGAGGGGAGAGCTGGAGGGAGAATCCAGGCTCTTCTCTCCTAGGCCAGCCCCTTCCCATTGATTTCCACCCAAGGCTTCTGAAACCACGGCACTGTGGGAACAAACTGTGAATACAAGTACTGCATGGTTGAAAGAACAATAGGGCATATTAGTCTTATTCCTTCTCTGTCATTGTCCACAGTTCTAAGTAAGTTCTCATGTCAGAAATCTACTGCATTAAGTATCTTTCCAATCCCTTAACAAAGGCACACGGGTAGGGGCCTTCTACTCATCAGTAGTCCGTGTACTTTGATCTGCAAATCCTAAATCATGACAGCTGATAAGATCATTGAACTCACAGCTTCGTATTTTACAAAGCCTACCAGCACATTGAATGTAATTATCACTCATTCCAAAGTTACTAAATTACACACAAGCTACGTTATATAAAACCAAAGAAAATTATTTATATTCGAGATCATTAGAGTAGCATACCAAAGACGACTAATCTCATCAATCACAAGCTTTGTTTTGTGCTATCATTTAAAAGAGATATATCTTATGAGATTGTTATGAAGGACAAGCGTGAGATTGTTCAGCAATTTTTTAGAAGTCCCACAGTGCTGGCATACTACTGCTCCCAACTCTCTACTAAATAATTTCTTCTTAATTACTCTAAAATGCCTCAGAATTTTAGACATTATTGATTTTTGTTCTTTTTTCTAACATGCACCTTAACAACAGTCATTTGAAAAGCTCAGGCAACAACAGAAGGACAAGGTGCATTATTAGCAGCAAACATTCAAGTTGCTCTGTAGCCACTGAACCTGTGGGAGCCTTGCTGTTCTCCCACCTGCCCACACCTCATGCCTGCCATGAGTGGGCATTGTCATGTGGACTGAAGGTGAAAGGATAGCCCTCCCCAACCCCCAAGGAACCTAGTTTATCTCCTGCACTGATTCATGCATGTCTGCCATGGAATCTGTAAATTAGGCTGATGGAAACTCATTTCTGGGCTACAGTGTCTGCATTACAACTGTGTCTTTGACTATACTGTATAGAAAACATACTTACGGGATAAATACTATCTCTGTGTTTGTGTGTTTATATTGCGGATCTAAACAAGTCCTCAAGCATGCTAAGGCCTTTCCTTGGATAAGGAGGCAGTACTGTAGTCATGGTTTCACTCACAATACATCCCTTGCAAGAATAACTCTTAAAAGATTTTCATGACATTCAGCTCTGATTCAGCAGCCAGGGGAGCCGGTCAGACCAGAAGTATCTGTGAAATAATGAGTTAGTTTCCCACTGTGAGACCTCCTTTATAATTCCAATTTCAGCTGGAAAGTCTTTGAAGAGATGATAGAACAATATCGGCTCCATGAAAGCTGCAAAGATGTAACAACTGCTGAGAAATTAAAGAGAGAAACTCCATGGAAAATTACAGATGCCGAACTGGAAGCAGTCAAGGAAAAGGTAAAAGTCTTGTCTTCCTTAATTTTTACTTTGCTGTCTAACTAGCTGAAAAAAGGAAACAGTGGTTGATTTAAAGATCAAGAAGTATTTATTACAGAATTTCATTACTTAAGATCCAGGGTTCCTGCATTTTTCAAGTGCTTTTCAATTATATTACCAGATAGGAGGATTTAGAAAACTTTTTATTTATTTAGTATGAAATTGATTCCTTTTAACAGCTAAAAATCATAGGTTATTGACACGTATTGTAAAAAGTCCTTTCAAGTTTCATTTTCTAGAACAGGAGACAGACTCACCAGTCTAAAATAATTTAAGTCAAGTCAGCATGTATGCAAAGTAAATAAAGATAGATTGTCTCACCATTTGATGCAATAACAAATAAAGATAGCTGTGAAAACTAGCATAGGGATCTGAGAAAATAGGTAATGAGGATAGTAAGGATGAAAGCAGGAGCAGGCACAGGTTGTAGGATGGATGTAAAACGGTGGGCTTTTCTGGAAAACACAAGAAGGAAGTTACTCCCCCATCTGGCCGGTACTGAAGTAGGCTGTGATGAGGAGGAGGGTGAATAGGGCAGGGACAGAAGAGTAAAGTGGAAGGACTGACATTTGACTTGAATTGGATGTTCAAGACGAACCGCAAGAACCTTTTTTAAAAAACACAGGTTATTGACACATATTGTAAAATTTAAAAATTTTAAATAAATTATATTAGGAACAGAAGTTGGAACAAATTAGAGCAAGAGGTAGTAAAAGCATTTCAAAGTTAGTGGGAAAATTACTAAAAATCATAAACTGCATAACAAACTGCCCAGTTCTAACAAAGCCTTTTCATATAATTGAACAAATCACATATCTGGAATCACATTCTAAACCAGTAAAATATAATAATATATATTATTGTTCTTATTACTGCAAAATAGTCAAGTGTAATTATTTTCCCCGGTTAGTCTTTTGGTGCCTGTTTAGTTGAACCAGTACCCTCTGCTGATAAAACATGCAAAGAGTTTAAAGAAAGGTAGATGAGGACATAATTTATATTCTTAGAATATCAAGTTAGCATGAAGATCAGGTCAGCTTTCTTCAGCCACAAACCTTGTCCCCAGAACTGGTTGCCGTCAGCTTCTTTCTCCTCCTGTCTGTGTTGTTTGCTCGGTTTATCCTGCCTGGGATTTAATGAGACACTACAGCACAGTGATGACTTGGTTCTATACTTCATATTTCTAAAATTTCTCATGGGTTTTTTAAAACACTCATGTTTCTAAGCCTGAATGAAATCACTGTAATATTTTTTAAGAGTGAGGTTTTTCTACTTGTCTATAATTTGAGGTAAGAAGAAAAATTCTTATTCGTAATTCTGGGAAAACTGCCCTCAACAAAATCTGAATGTTGTCCACAGAGTTACCGCCAAGTTCGGCTGAATGAGCTCTTACAGGAGCACTCGAGAGCTGCTAATCTCATAGTCCTGTAAGTATCACGGCAGACATTTAAGAATGTTCCAGCATGAGACCTAAGAATGTTACCTAAACAAAATCTTAGGTAAATGGGTTAATCAATTTAAAAGTTCATGCCTACTCAGGTGGACACTTAAAAAATTCAGAACATGTGGGATTTTAGACAATGAAAAAAAAATACTTGTCACGCTAAGACCTAGAAAACTGGGACCCACAGACTCTAGTGGCCCCACTTGCACTTTGCAGCAGGGCAGTGCCCACCCGCAGCCCCGGCGGCCCCAGCGGCCCTTCCAGACCGTGCTCCAGGAGCCTGGCCCTGGAATTCCCTGCCTAACAAGCTTCGAGTCGGCCAGCGAGGCCCACAGGCCCCTTTGGTAGGTGGGTGCTCCTGCGGTGAGGAGTCCACTGCATGTTCACAAGGCTCCTTGCCGTTTGCATAGAGGTGAAGGGGAGACCCTCCACCCCACACATGTTAGGGGTGCACCTCCTGAAAATAGTAATGTTTGTTTGCCTAAAGATTGATAGCTAAATATGAAAATCTCCAACTATTTCACATTTATAGTCTATGAACTGACTCCTACACACAAAGATAATATGTCTTCAAGAGAGGTCCAGCCTGGAGGACTGTCCATCAAAGACATGAAATGGCCTCCTGAACTGAGTGGTTCAAACACTTGGTTTCTGAGGTTTCTCCAAATATAAGAGCTTTAAACTACTGGGAAAAATTGCTTCTGCCAAAAAAGGGGGAGAAGTATTGATTGATACAATTTTTCATTTAAAGAGGAGTGAAAATCTATAGTTGTGTTTTGTCTCTACAATGCCTAAACCTAATTCTCTGGTTATAGGTATTTGTGTTATCTGAGAAATACATCAGGATAATACCTGTATTCACAGTAATTTAAGTGCTTTCATCTTGGGGAGAAGGGGTATGAAAGTTTCAGACCACTGCTTACTAAGCAGCTCAGACGACTGGAGGTGTTCACTGACTCCATGCAGTAACTCCCGCCTTTGTTTTCTGTTTTCCTCCCCTTCTGTCAGGAGCCTCCCAGTGGCCAGAAAAGGATCCATATCAGACTGGTTGTACATGGCTTGGCTGGAAATCCTCACGAAGAACCTCCCTCCTGTCTTACTAGTTAGAGGAAACCACAAAAATGTCCTGACATTTTACTCTTAAACCATGAAAAATCACAGCACATTTTAACTGAACATATGGATAATTAAGAACCGGTCTAGTACTTGATATTGTAAATCCGACCCGCACTTATGCAACCTCTGGGGGCTATACTACAGGATTCTACATACACTTTGTCATTGTTCTTTTATTAGTTAATAGGAGGGTTTGTTTGGGTTTTTTTCCTGTCAGCTTAAGGGCAGCGTCAAAGCCACTGGTACACCTAAGAAAAACATCTTTGTCATTGCTGTTGACACACCAGAAAATTAAGCAAACCCACACTGGTTTATGCTCATGAGAAGCAGCAACTTGACTGTAAGCTTCTCCAGGCAAAACTAACCTTTTGTCTGCTCCTAGGCCCCCACGGAGGCCCCAGCCCCACGGCAGGTTCTCACTAAATGCTTATTGACAGGCTGGTGGAGGAACTCGGCTGGTTATCAAAGGGAAAGGCCAGCTGGGCAGGAAACGTGATTATGCTTGCCCTTCTGAGAGGCTTATACCTACAAAGAAGATTTGAGAATCAATAACTGAAAACTTTAAGAAGCACTGGAGTCTACAAAATGTTTAAAGCGGTTCCCAAAATAAGGTTATTTAATGTAGCACAGATTACGCACTTAGAGTGATCAGAGCGATCCCTGGCGATAACATGCATGTCCTTGTGCTGCCGGCTGAGGTGCGCGCGGCTGCACTAGGAGGCAACACGTACTCTCATTAAATGCAGAATGTTCCATTATTAATGCGGAAACTTAACTTCCTTCCCTATCAAGTATTTTGAAATTTCCACCACAGTATTTCTTTGCATATTTTTCTAATTGAGTGGTTAGGGCAGATGAAATCTTCAGATGTCTAGAAATTGAAAACCAACGACCACAAATTTTTAAACATTATAAAGAAATATATCCTGAATCATTTACTTAGTTACTTTATATAGTGATTATATAGATTTAAAAGAGCAATTAAAATGTGAAGAAACTTGCGAAATTTGAAATATATAAGTACTAATTGTTTTCCCATTTTTGTTAGTATTCCTATAATAGTTAATCACATTAAAAAAAACAACAAAATTTTGTTTTCTGATGATTGACTTGTTTTTTTTTCCTGACATGTTTTAACTGTTTAAACTAACTGCTAAAATATAAAGGAAACAGTAAGCCTGAAATAAAAGCACTGAAATTCATTCGCTTTGGCCTAGGTCATGTTTTTATTTTTCAGTCACTGAGATCACAGTGCACTGGTGGAGCAGATACGAGCCTTAAAATTTCTATCATTTGCCCATCTGAAGGTTATTGAAAAGTGGGATTTAAGATTAGGACTTCCAAGCCCAGACTCGTCTCAGAAGGATGACCAGGGAAGCAAATGAGCCCAAAAAGCTGCAGCAGTAGGCTATCCCCACTCCCTGTGTGGGAGCATTTGACTTAACTCAGCTCTGGATTAGACCCTCCCTCGTGAGCCCTCTGCACCTGAAATCCAAATGACTAGAAGTGGTGACCAGGGGCAGGTGTGCCCAGCTTCACCTGGGTCTGACATTCTCTGAAGCACTTGGGAGGGTCTATGGGAAAGGTGAGAAGTAATGACTTCTGTAACAGCAAAGTCTGGCTCTTGTTTCTTTGAGAGACTGTTTCAGTTTGGGTTCCCTGGAAAACAGACTTAGAGTTGAGTGTGGAGCATGTTATTGAGGAGCACCCTTGGGATCAACACCCGTGGAAGAGAGGAGCAGGAAGCAGGAAGGGTGGAGGAAAAGGTGAGCTGTAGTGCAGGCCCAAGGACAGCTTCAGCTGACCCCACAGGATGCTCTGGAGACAGACGTTCCTTCAGAGCAGTCCCAAGCAGGGCCAAGAAGGCCAGGCCTTTATTCTCCCTCACTGATCAGTCATTGGATGTGGCCTGCCAGGCCAGGGTACAAGCTTGGGTGAGGCTGGTCTCCGTGGCTCAGCCTGAGAGCTGAGGCCTGTCTGCTAACAGCACTCCCAGCTGCTGGGGTACCCAGTCTTGCATTAAACAGTGTCTGGGAGGGACATTACCATGCCAACCAAAGGGGCCATATAAAGTAGTAGTTAAACAACAGCAGCGCCACACACACACACACACACCCCCCTCCAGACTGCTCTCACCATTTATTAGTGGTTTGAATTCATACTAGTTATTTAATTTTCTTGGGGCTACTGGCAAGAGAGTGACTAAAGGAATGTCCCTTGGTTTCTAAGTTAACAGAGGAGAAGAGCATGGACTGAGAGAAAAGGAATGGGTGGCAGTAGGGACTGATGATTTTAAAGTCAAGAGCAGCTGTGTTGGGAATAGGTTAGAGCAGCAGAAATCTGAAAGAACGAGGGGTGGGGGTCACTGCGCTCAGGTACCAGCAGGTTTTTCTAGCCCTGGGTGCCCTGCCCTTATCCTCTGCTTCCCCCAGCTCTGTTAAGCCAACCACCCATTGTCCCCACGTCCACACTCAGGTTTCTCAGCAGGAAGGGGAAAGTCTCACAAGCAAGTGCCCTGACGTCCCACCATCTGTGTCCTCTCACCTTGTGCACATTTCCCATCAGCTGCCTCCACAAGGACTTCTCAAAACCTTCACTTCTGTGATGACCATGCCACCATCCCTAGCACATAGCTGTGTCCATAGGAGTGCAGACCGAGAACTTTCCTACTTGAACAGGGCCATGCTGGAAGTGCTGTCTTATAAGTTCTTCTCTTAATGATCGAGTTTGAGAATCTTTCAAAGGAATTAAAAAAAAAAGATTGTGGATTCTTGGAGTTTCCCACAGACCCATTAAATCAGAATCTCTGGGACAGGGACTGATGAGATTCTGAAACTGCTTCTCTAGGCAGCCTCTCCTGCTCCTGTGACCATCTGACCACTACCACTGGCTGATGTCTCCAAAATTTCTATTTCTGACCCAGACCTCCCCCATGTCTCAGATACACTTATTCAATCACTAACTTTCATAGTGTTTCTCTTTGTAAGTCCTGAAGACATCCTAAATGCAGGATGACCAGACTTCTGTTTAAAAATAAACAAATGACCCAAAAAATTCAAACCACACAACTGGAACAAAGGCATCTAATTCTGTTTCTCTGTTGTCTATTAGATCCCCCCGACCCGGCCAAATGAACAAAGAAACATAAACATCATCCTGGCTGGTGTAGCTCAGTGGATTGAGCGCTGGCTGCAAACCAAAGTGTTGCAGGTTTGATTCCCAGTCAGGGCACATGCTTGGGTTGCAGGCCATGACCCCCAGCAACCACACATTGATGTTTCTCTTTCTCTCTTTCTCCCTCCCTTCCCTCTCTAAAAATAAATAAATAAAATATTTTTTTTAAAAAAGAAACATAAACGTGGGAAAAATTGGCATCACAGTAGGATGCCAAGGAAGGATGCCATCCATGGGGTAACACTTTTAAAACCACAATTTACTTGAGAGAGATCGAAGGAAGCTATCAAAGGCATCTTGAAACAAATGCCTGAGGAAAAAAGCCACAGAAAATCGCTGCAAGAGGCCTGGGAGAATTCCACTAGCCCCTCCCCTAACCTGCAGCCGGAGGCCAAAATCTGGAGACAGGAGGGTGCCACACTGAGTGGGATCCCTTTTGCCAGATGCCCAGAAAATTCAGAGATGGCTACCTGAAGAGGCCAAACCGTGTGCTTGGCGGTCCCTTGAAGCAGATGGGTGTTGCAATGGGGTTATCTCATGGGTGCCCTTGAAAGATCATAGAGAGACAGCTGCCTGTCACAGAGGCTGAGCCAAAGAGAGAGTCCGCCCTCAGTACACAACTTATCTTAACACAAAGAAGAAAATTTGCAGGGATGAACAATCCTGTCCCTGGGTCTCACTGCTCTCAGGTCGCTAGGTTACTAAACTGGCGCTGCAAGCTCATATAAACCAGGTCTCCAGCTAAGATTAAACAGGAGGATTGTAACAATACCAGGTGGTATGGTGGAGGTCCCTGTGCCAATCACAGACGACCAGCCACATCTGCTTGTTGACAGCGTGGTATCCAAGACTTAGCACGCGCAGGGGCCTTACTGGCCACACGAGTCACTTAAAGCCCCTTCACCTAGGTATTTCCAACATCTTCCTCTGCAGAGATTTGGGGAACACACTGACACAAGGATGAGATCTGTCTGGACGCCACAAGGGGAAAAGAGGAGAAACTCCTCTTTGGGTGAGACTCACTCTACTGCTGAGATGTTCCAGTTGCTGACACATCGTGGCATCCCCATCAGCTGCAGGCAGAGCCAAAAGGACAAGGCCTCGCTCCAGGCCCCTGCATCCAGCCCAGGCACTCTCGGACAGCCACAGTGCCCCCCACTGCGCTGGCCCACCGACAGCGGAGACCTCTTCTCCACAGCAAGGTGAGTAGCTCAGCCTTACCTCTTTCAGAAATCCTGATGTTGAAAACAATTTCAGTCTTTCCATCCTTGTGCAGAAAAAGTGTTTTCAAAGAGAACATAAAAGATTTCATCTCATCTGTGACACCATTCTAAACACACCATTATTTTAGGTCCCACTAAGGAAGAAAAATCTCTGCTATTTAAACCATGACAAAATATTCTATTACCTAACATTGTTGTTGTTTTAACCGAGACTCCTTTTTAAGGCTTTTAGGTATAGCGTCTCCATGCTTCCCCACTACAGGACCAGGAGTGCCAGTGATGCAGCGCTTCTTTAAGGAAAAGCCCATACACACTATTTTATTATTGGCATTAATAACTTGCATAATTATAGATTCAAGCATGATTTTTTTTAAAAAAATAGCTTAAATATAAGTCATGACACTGTAAAAGTCCTAGGGGAAAACATGGGCAGGAAAATCTCAGATCTCCCACGCAGCAATATTTTCACAGACACATCCCCTAGGGCGAGGAAAAAAAAAGGAAAGAATAAATAAATGGGACTATGCCAAACTAAAAACCTTCTGTACTGCTAAAGAAAATATCAACAAAATGGAAAGGGAACCAACCTTATGGGAAAACATTTGCCAATGATACCTTGGACAAGGATTTGATCTCCAAAATATATAAAGAACTCACATGACTCCACATAAGGAAGACAAACAATCCAATTAAAAAATGTACAAAGAACTTGAACAGACTTTTCTCCAAGGAGGACACACAGAGGGCCCAATAGACACATGAAAAAATGCTCAGCATCACTAGTTATCAGAAAGATGCAAATTAAAACCACAATGAGATACCACCTCCCATCAGTCAGAGTGGCCATCATAAATGAAAAAACAAGTGTTGGAGGGGATGTGGAGAAAGGGCACCCTAGTGCACTGTTGGTGGGAATGCAGACTGGCGCAGTCACTGTGGAAAACAGTGTGGAATTTCCTCAAAAAAACTACAGATGGAACTGCTTTTCAATCTAGCAATCCCACTCCTGAGAATCCTGAAACATCAGTTCAAAAGAACTTATGCACCCCTATGTTCATAGACAGAAGTAAATAACTTATAATAGCCAAGAGCTAGAAACAGCCTAAGTGCCCATCAGTAAATGAGTGGATTAAACAACTGTGGTACATTTATACAGGGGAATACTATGCAGCAGAAAAAAAGGAACTCCTACCTTTCACAATAGCATGGATGGATCTGGAGAACATTATGCTAAGTGAAATAAGCCAGGTGGTGAAAGACAAATACTATATGATTTCACCTATAAGTGGAACCTAATCAACAAGACAAACAAGCAAGCAAAATGTAACCAGAGACACTGAAATAAAGAACAGACAGTAACCACAGGGAAGAGGGGGATAATGGGAGGAAGAAGGGGAAAGGGCAAGCAAAGGAATAGAGGACTCATGGGCATGGACAATGTGAGGGATTGACTGTGGGAGTGGGGGTGGGGGTAGGGGTGAGTAATGGGGAAAAAGGCCAGACAACTGTAACTCAACAACAATAAAAAATTAAAATTAAAATTAAAAAATAGCTTAAATGTGTCTTCTAATGTAATTTTAAAATTGTATATAAATTCCAATACATAAAGAGCATAAAAACAAGAAAACAATTCTAATTTAAAAGAAATTATGCAACACAATATGATCATACAATAGAATGGCATACAAATTGTACATATAAGAAATAAGTAAATATGTTTATCTTTCTTAAAGACTCTCAAATTTAATAAAAATAAATAAAATCAAACTATGTCTATCTTCATATTCTAAAGTATGTATCAACAG